AACTCAAAAAGGGCTGGAGCACATAAACAGTCGTATCCCCACGAGAGGGATCATTGTTGTGTCAGAAATCGATACCTGAACGCCGATTTTATACCGGGTCAACACCTCCATGCCCCTTTCCCATCAAAGTCAGACCGCCAGAAGGGGCCAGCCGTATTATAATCCGCAAATACCGGAATAATGTTACTCTGGCTGTAAAAAGCACGAATAATGTGCTAAGTTCACACCTGTTGAAGGTTTCAAGGCGGGAAAACGGCCAAAGGTTACCATCTTTGGTATTTGCTCTAGGCTTTTATTATCTGTTTTAAAATGACAGTGTGTATGGGGAAATTTTGAATGACCCATTGTGGTGAGGTCTAGGGCATGCGCGCTTCCCAATTTTAACTCGGGACAGAAGAAACAGGTAGAACCCATGGCCACGCCTCCGTGAAATGGTTGAGTTCGAAAAACGAAATTTTTTTTTAGAATTTCAAGACTCTTTATCTCAGCTGATGTTTATTTCTACCCGTTACAAATGTCATGATTATCAAATCAAACTCAGTTATCTTTAATGTACATGAAGCTTGTTCCCTACCTTAAAAGCTATTCTACGTCCCGCTGAAAGACAGTACACAAACAAGAGTTCCACGATCTCATACCTTCGCCAAATGATGTTAACCCTTGCGGTTGATGAATTAAACAATTTTAATCATTGATTTTGTAAATAAGAGCCTCATCTGCATGGATTGTATCAGTTGATCATGTTCTCCACCCAATGACAGCCTTATCTTAACAAAAAGGCTATTATAGCACTTCCACATAAATTATGCAAATGAGGTCATGATTTGAATAAATTATGTTTATTGATGTTCACCTTCACTTAACTTCCAAATTCGAGCAAGTATGAAATTCGGGGTGCAGCAGTTACAACTATGGAATTATAAGAATTTGTCATTAATTATGCAAATTAGGTCCTCATTTACATGATCTTTATCCTCAGATGTTTTTCTCGTTCTCAAGTAGATGTCACAAGTGTTTCATAGTTCTATTATCGAACAAAGCAGATTTATAGAATTTCCTCATTAATTATGCAAATTAGCTCCTGATTTGCATAATTGCCATCTGATTATGTCAAGCATCACTTCAACTACCTACATACCAAAAATCACGACAATACGTCAACCGGTTCTTGAGTTATCGTCCTTCAATTTTTTTTCAACAAATGCTCCTGCAGTTCCAGAACAAGGCGCTAGGGGACCCAAACTCGTGTCACTTCTTCCCTACCCCAAGAGCTATCTACCAACCAAAATTCGTGACCCTAGCATGTCCAAATCACGAGATATCAAAACCGGAAGTTCTGCTGCAGTACCTAGGAAAGCCGCCAGGGGGCCCAAAATCTAATCATTTCTAGGTCTCATGAAGACCTACCCACCTACCAAGTTTCATTTCAATCCATCCACTGCTTCTCGAGTTATCTTGCTAAACCACACACACACACACACACATACCCACAGACAAACGCTACTGAAAACATAACCTTCTTGGCGAAGGTAATGATATGCCGCAGTTTACATTATCAACATAGTCAACAAAGTGTTCATCATGACAATGCAGTAAATCAGATTCCAGACAACCACACACACACACACGCTTCCGAGACAACAAGTAATTGCTTAGTGACATTTAATCAAGTAACATTTACAGCTGAATTTACAGGATAAAACATGACTTTTGCATTCATCTTAATATAATATCATCATGATGACTAAACAACCTGCTCACTGTGAAGCTTGTACATGTTCATATTGCTATTTACACAAGTAAAAGGCAAATTCAATACTACAAGATGATTGATATTCAATATTGCTAACAGAATTTCTTGGTTCCTTGTTGAAAGATCTGAATATGATTATTTGAATCATGTAATACACCTACATCTATGACTTCAACAGAAAAACCTACAGTGTGCAAATAAAACTGTACCCCTGTGCAAGAGCAGTCTTTGGTTTGAACACTGGCGTGGAACCAAAGAACAGCACATGCACAGAGGTACTTCAGAACTAAGAGAAGTTAAAATAAAACCTTCAAATCATAAACATTAAGAAAATTTTGCTAAGCAGTCAAGCTAAGGGTGGTGTGCAGACCTGAGATCAAAATGATACTTTGCTACAATGGGAAATATACAATGAATCTTATGGTTGTAGTATGTTCAATGTATAAACTAAGATTGCTGCAGACTCTACAAAGAGAGGACAGACGCACACATGTAACAAGTCTTCTAGCCTGGGTGCCAGACTGTTGCCAGGGCCAGCATACAGGCTTGCTCCTAGGCTTCTAAGCCAACAAGGAAATTTCACTACAGACCCTCTCAGTTAGACCCTGAGCAGGGTCTAACTGAGTGTGGCCTGTGTATTCGCCCTGACAGCAGTCTGGCACCCAGGTTACAAGAAACACCTGCAACCACCACTGTGTGTATGTGGAGTGGATGTAAACTTGTACTACTGTACTGTAAACTTGCACAATCATTTTGTTCTGGCCTGCAAAGATACATGTACAAAAGACAAGTCTGTACCTCACATGGGAGAAATGGAGGGTCCCTTCACCTCACCTTTCAGTTGCAAATATGTAGACAATTACTGTAGCTGTTTAGACCTATGGAGGCTTCATTTTTGCCCCACAAGATAGACCTGGTGCTTCCAACACAGTTAAAATCTAACCCCTGTTTTAACTCTTCCAAACATAATAAATTTAGGTTTTCAATCTACCAATTTACATATTTTGTCAGATATATTACTTCGAAGGGGCATGCCCTGACATATCATTTTAGCCTGAGAATAAAGAACAAGTAACTTATGCATATTCATCTGTAACTTAAACAAACTCATAAGTAATACACACATATTAATTACCACATTGGTCCCATGACATAAACATGTGTCAACATAACCTGTGTTAAAGAAAGATACATTTCATTATACATTACTTCTTAACAGAATCTGGGCTGGTTTAGAGCTTACTAACTTATGTACATCGCTTGATCCTACAGACATTGGACTTTTCCTTTCATCTCTCTTACCCTCAACTGTCCCTCCCCTCTCATTCATTAAACATGTAACACAAAGTCACAAGGCTGAACACATCAGCAAGTGTGTAAAGCCTCTGTCACACATAGCTGACCATGGCTTCCCGACCTTCTCCAAACCAGTATACAAAATTTTGTACAAACCAACGCTGGAAAGGTCATATTCTGTTTGGAGGTGATGAGAGTAGCGAACTGTAGGTAGAATGTGACCGATTCAAAGCTACTCCCAACTAGCCTGGAATGCATCCGTGAATACTGTGTCTCCGCTGTGCCTTCACAAGCAGAGCGGAGGAACGGAGCAGAGACACAGTGTTCACGGATGCATTCCAGGCTAACTCCCAACCCAGCACTGACCTTGGTTGTAGAGTGGTCGGGAGCAAAGTTGTGGGAAGGTGTTTATCTGTGACAGGGGCTTTAGACAGTGTGATCATGCTGTATACATTGTACATTGCTGCAGGTGAGGTTTTTTTTTTTCAACAATGTACATTAGCAGATGAGGAGTAATGCTAGTGGTAGTCACAATTTTGCATTTCTGCAGAAATACAACTAAAGTACATGTTCAAGTTATTGCCACCACATAGTAAGAAGTTAAAATCCAGACAACTGTGTTGGACAGGAACCTTTGCCAAGACAAGTTGCACAAGCACAGGATCTGCACATTCAAGAATAGTACTGGCAACAAAGTCCCAAACAGACAGAACATGTACCTTTACCATGTGTTAATCGGTCTTCCCCTTCACAACTGATGGGGCAAAGGGAAAATACAACTGAGTACAGGAAAACAATTACATTACATTATTTTCATTATTATTATCAAAGCTGATCTTCTTGTGTCAAAGGTTTCACAGTTGTGTAGATGATGTTATACTAAAGACATCCATGTAGGAAAGACCATCGATCTATAAAACTACGGCAGATTAAATAGTCACCACAGTTTGCTACTTCATTTTACGGCACCAAGCATGGCAGTTGGGCATAAGCTTAAGTTGCAGTTTTAAATTTGTGATTTAGCTTTAGTACATTTATGTTCACAAAGTCTTTGAATGGAAAGTGTTCCATTGAAATCCATGTACCATCAAAGATTTAGCTTCAGTATAAAGATGAAGTATGTTGAGAAAGTACTAAAAGCCTCAGTAACACCTGCACATTTTTACTTACTTTACTGTTTTTTTTTTAAGTTGCTGAGCCCTAACTGTAAAAATTTTGGAGCAGGTACACAAGACTTAGAGGTACATGTACTAGTCTCAGACATAAGGCCTTTCCCATGCCCCCCTCCCACAGCTTGGTGCCCCATACAGTTGTTGACATACCTACAGAACACTACACTACACCGACTGTCATCATTTCCACAGCTGTGTGCTCAGGGTCTGTCCCGTGCCCGGCCCACCTGGGGCTGCCACGGGGATCCCTGCCGAGCCAAACCCCCCCATCATGTCCCCCGGACCTGTCATCCTCATGCTCTGTAGCTGCTGCTGCACCTGTTGCAGGTGCATCTGCTGCATCTGCTGCTGTTGCTGCATCTGTTGTTGCTGCATCTGCTGCATCTGCTGCGCGTTGTACATCCCTCCCATCATTCCTGCTGCGCCTCCAACTCCTCCCATCATGCTGTTGGGCGGCATTCCCATCATGCCCTGCTGCTGCTGCGGCATTCCTCCCATCATCCACTGCTGCTGGGGTGGTTGTTGCTGTTGTTGTGGCATGTTGCCTGAAAGAAGGAAAGTTTGGTATCAGTTTGAAATGAAGAGGACATAAGGAAACTAAAAAGATGCCTTTTTTCTTTGCTCTTTACTGACATTTTGCTAGCCTGGTTACCACACCTATTATAGCCAGGTTACCACACCTATTGTAGCCTGGTTACCAGACCTATTATAGCCTGGTTACCAGACCTATTATAGCTCCCGAGTCCTACATCCTCTCCGCAGTAACCAGGCTACATTTTGCTTCAACTGACACAAACATCAGTGGTCCGTCTGCAATGATGAAGACAAGTTGCTAATATATATCATGCAATTTTAATGGCAAGCAGATACACTAAATTAACTATATTTGCAAACATAAATTGTGATAACTATGGTAACGTTCGGTCAGCGCAGAATATCATCTTTGATAGTCTTACCCATCATACCCTGTTGCATGCCTGGCATCTGGAATTGTGCAGGAGGGGCCGGCTGCTGGGGCATGTACATTCCACCTGGAAACAGGACAGCCAAATGTGAGACAAATAAACATTTCATTTGACTATCCATGCTGTAGTAGCATGCATAGTTCAGTGGTTAGTGACCCTGCCTCTGGACCAAAAAGTCGTGAGCTGGAATCCCAGCTATGCTGTTTGCACGCTACTGGAGTCGTTAGGACAGGAATGCCCGGGCTGATGATATGAGGACAGGAATATAGCTGTGCATCATGTATATTTGCAGCTGAATTCAAAGAGCAAGGCACTTTCAAAGTTTGGTTCAACTTTTATGCTGGTACAGTAAAGCTCTGCATTTTAGTGAAGTTAATGTGTACAGACCGCATCATGACTTTTGAGGAACAAACAAACAATGCTTAATTATCATTAAAATAAAAACAACTGGCCTACCTGGTACACCAAAGACTTGGTTCTGTGGTTGGCTTGTTGAGGAGCCATACAGAGAAAGAATGGATTCCTTGGTGGATTTCTGGGGTTTTGATTCGTCCTTCAAAAGAGAGTCCTCGGCATTTGATTGGCTAGGCATGGAGGGAGCTGTGCTCTGATTGGTGGTGGAAGAGAAGGCTGCAAACAGGTCATTACTGGAGGAGGCTACTGGTTGGCTGGTTGGGGAATCTGTGGCGAGTAGTACAAAGAAACAGAGACATTGATAAGGTCTTCTTTTTGATAAAGAAAAGTTTCTAATGATTACCATACTTAGCGGTATGTGTATTGCTAGGCAGTTGGATAGTAATGCATGGTTAGTATACCGGTATACTCAATGACAGCCATTTAGATAATTTAAAAGATGGTTAGTACATTGCAGGGGATAGTTCATTAGTACAGCCTTATGGGATGAGGGGAGAAAAACTGCTGCATATATTTGTACAAACTGACGAGGTACTGTCAGGAGTCAATTTTCCTATAAAACCTGCTTTTTATGAACAAACAGGGCTGTTCATTAGTACAATAGGAAGAAGTAACTTATGTTATCTGGGATATCTTAAACAGTACAGTACCGACTTTTGGATGTGCATCAAAGTCCAATCAAGGTTACAGTACCTCCTTTCAGATTTTGCAGGGTATCTCTTGGTATGTTGCGGCATAGATTTCAGGATTTTGTGGGACTTCTGCAGGATCAGCCCCACTCATGGACAGAAAAACAGTTTTGTACTGGCAAAATTGAAATATTCGTATTTCGAAATTATCCAAATATTTCAAAAAAGTTAATTCATTCATTGATATCCCCAAAGTTGGTACTGTATAAAGCAAGGTGATCAATGAAGTGCATACTGTTAACAGCAGGAATGGTTGTAGATGTGGCTGCGGACAGGAAGTCTCCGAAAGGGTCAGCATCTCCGTTTGTCACTGGCCCATCTGGAACACAGGAGGAACATTAACACACTGTATAACTTTCATTCACTGAGGTTCATGTCATTAAAGATGGAAGGAACATGCCGACATACCGGTAGTCTAGAATCTAGATTATTGGACTAACAGTCTTGACTGGTTATACCTCCTTTCCACTACAGAATGTGACTGTTGATTGAACTCGGAGCATTGAGAGCAACCTATCGCTCAATGACTTTCATAGACAAATGACAAATCTTTTCGTGTTTGTATGTTTTGTTATCTTTCAAATCATAGGGATACTGTTATATCATGATTAACAATTAACATTCCAATTTCTGTATAAAATCAAGAGTCACACAAAAGCAACCTTGGTTGCTGAACAATCACAGACTTGTGGAAAGGGGCCATTCCAGAAAGTAGGTTGTATTAGTATTAGTAGAGTAGCACCACTAGTGAAGGTTAGCTTTTTAGCGCTGTAGGAAGATGATATTTACATATCTGTTGGAGTAAATTGTCTATGTTAGAATCTACAAAGCTAAACCTTAACCCATTTAATGGCAATTATCTGAAGGGGGGGGTGGCAAGTGGAATGAGCAGTCCATACTCATGGCGTGATCATCTGATTGGCTGTTGGCATTATTGTCTGATTGGTCAGTGTCAAAGGTCAGCAGCTCCACCTCTGCCACTTGATTGGTGGACGGTTGCAGAATGTTATCCTTGAGAAGGTCGTTTGTGTCTGTGGATGAGTTATGATCGAGACAGAACGAGGACAATTAACACCCGATTAGTGCTCAGAACTTCATTGTGCATTAGAAAATTATTTTTATGTTAGCGATGAGTCTCCAAGATGGAAAAAGAGAAGGATTAAATCACATGTACAATCAAGGAGCAACAAGGGTAAGAAGAGTTAGCTTTGCATTGAGGAGGTCAAAACATCTTGGGGTCCTACCAAAATGTTACATGCTGCTTTCTCTGTTGAGCACACTTATGATAAGAGAATATGTTACTTCAATACACACCACTACCAGTCAGTGAAAAGAGCAAGGCAATCCTAAGTCTAGAGGTGGTTAGCGTTACCAGCATCATACAACAGGGCCAGGTGCCTCGGTATTCAGATGATACCATCTGACACCTGGTTGTAGGGGTGGTCAGTTACATAATTCTCACCTAGTCCGAGCAGGTCCATCTGTGGCTGGACAGGTTCACTCTTTGCTGGTGTGGGTGGGGCAGACGCAGACTTGGCAGGAGCCGCTGCCTCTGGTTTCACAGGTCTGGGTACCGTGGGCGACTGCTAGGGTCAGGGGACAGGTCAGAAGTCAGACATGAAGTTCAGAGGTCAAACACACACCAGGGGATCAGAATATAGATTGCGCCACTTGTCAAACGTTATAATATTACAGAAAAAGATTTTGAAAAATTCATAAGAATTTAAAATGTTGAAATGGTAACATGGTCATGACATCAATACCAGGAAAAGAACTATGCATGGACATTTCCATATTTTGCTCTTACCCTCCTACTAGATACAGCTCTCTTAGATACAAACCCTCAATATCAAAAGCATGTGGCTTAATCAGAGGATATATACCTTCTGCTTCTCCTTAGCTACAGATGGAGGAGAAAGTTTCTTCTCTCTCCTCTCCTTCTTCTTCTCCTTTGGTTTCTCTATCTCTTCCTCCTTGCGGGGCTGAAAACCAGCGAAAAGGAAAAGATGATTTAGATATAGATCTTTATGGCAGACACTGAACTTCTGTCGATGTCATCTGGTGCAGTTGAACTTGCATCAGGGGTTCCTTTGATTCCATATTTCTTCATTGTCCATACAGGGGATCGTGTGATCATCATGTGCAAGTTCCAATCGCGGACATGCGTTTGCACAGCAATTTTGTGTTAGCTGGTGTGTTACGCCAAAGGGCGGTGATACCAGCTATACAGATACAGAATCGATACAGATAAGAATTGATACAGAATCGATACAATTAAACACCTGTAACTGATGGCATGCAGTGTGAACACATGCTTATGAAATTGGACAAAAAGCTGTTAGTGTCAATGATTTTTTTCCGACAGAATAATTTTAAAGCCTACGTGTACTGTACCTTGAGATCAGCTGGAGTGATGATATGAGCATTTTTGTCGATGTATTGTTTCCTCTCGTACTTGGACCGGATAAACTGTTCCAGAGCACTGTGTGGGTGGTTAAGAATCATGCAGGAATTTTGTGACATTGCTTATTTTTAGCTGTATGTACTGGTAGTGTAGTGTTACACAGTCAAACCTCTTGAAGTAGCCACTAATACATACGGACAACCTGGCCATTGGTATTCATGTACAGGCAAACCCGTACAAGTGACAAGGCCAATGTCACTTTTTGGTGGTGCCTTAGAAGAGATACTTTTTCCCATTGATACAAGCTATTAGTGACCACCTGTTCACATAGACCAAATTTGCTATGTCCCCTTAGGTGTCTTCTTGGCAGTTTTAATGATGTGAAAACCTCTCTATATCTCAAGAACTTTGACCACATGAAACAGTCAAGGATACGAGTCTGTCTGTGGCCTTCTGAAGCTGTCAGGGAGACGTGCCTCGTACACAGCCCGGGCCTGGTAGTTTCCCATTTCCTGCATCATCTGGGAATAAAAACAGTTTCAAAAATTAGAAGACCTGCTAACAAATTTGAAAATATATTGATTAAGGTGTGTAGTGAACATACAATGTATGTTGTACTCCATGGTCTATGGTAAAGCTAATTACAGAAGTAAAGGGTTATCAAGGCATCATGAATGAAAATACACTTTACAATATGATTTATAGTCCATGTACATGTAATGTATACCTATGATATCTGTATCTTGTTCAGTATGCATATGATTGACATGTTACAGTAGCTTGTTCGTTTATTTTGGATTTACACTACGAAGGGGAAGATTAAACAGATGACGTAAATGGCACCTTTACAAGAACAATTTTTCAATGGACATAACCATATCATTTTTGTTCTGTAATCTGTTGTTGTGAAGTTCCCACCTGTATCTGCTCGGGTGTCCATGAGTCCAGGTTGACAGACTTGACGCGTGAGATGTGCACGCCCAGGTTACGATGGATCCCAGCACAGCGGATGCACAGGAACAGGCCCAGGTTCCACGACGCCCATCTCGGTCCTACAGAAGAAATGCAAGGGATATTGGTGATTCAGATATCTTAGTTTCTTAACTGGTATAAAAAGAGGATAAAGAGTTACAAAAGGTTTGGAATTTTTTCATTGTATTGTGGTGTCTGTGGTTCCAGGAAATACGGCAAACATGAAACTGAAACAGGGAAGTGTCTTCTACTAACTAAGAAGTTCTATGACATACTGGACAACACCCCTTGTTGTGCATAATGTCTTTCTCAAGTTTCTGAAGCGTCTTTCAATCTTTGTCCCTGATGCTGGTGAGAATTTATATAAAAATGTAAATCTGAAGAGTTAAGATGCTTGCAAGTGTTTGCCTTCTAAAAATGTAGTAATGTAGTATTATTATGTACTACATATTGTGTTGCTTCACCAAGGATGAAATGAAGTGAATGTGGTTCATGTATTATGTTCACAAAAAGACCACATAAAACATTCATGACTTCCCTTCTATGGAATGCCACATTGGTATGTCACAGTTTTCCTCTAAAGTCGCAATCAACCTTAACACGAATCGCAGTCAACTGTCGTACTAGTGAGAAATGTACTAATGAGTTACCTCATTAGATATAATTGTATTAGCAATGTAAACCCAAGTATCCTGTAACTCGGCCCTGTCCCTGTGCATACAAGTTATTTGCTTTTGTCCAAAGTTCAGATTAAAAGCTAAGATAGAACAGACAGCAATTGCACATGGTAAAAATGCCTTTAATTCTGATGCGCATATTTTTGTTTTTCTTGTAACTATGGATTAAAAAAACATCTACAATACAGAATTTTTTTTATAATTAACTAGCATACCCCAGGTTTATTTCTTTCTCTTCTGTCAAAATATTTGTGGAGATGGTTTTTAATCCTAATATGCGAAAAAATTCCAATAGTTTTGACATATAAATTAAGTTTTCCCTTTAAATTAAAAAAAAGGAAAAGATGTAGATAAGTAGCTAAGTAAATGCAAAACTCAGTTGTTCTTGTAGTAGACTGGATGATATCCTTTCTGTTAATGTTACTTTAATTCAGGATTAAACTTTTAAAGACTGACACTTGACTAAATATTTGAGGATGACCAGTCTCTAAACCAGAAATAAACTGGCCTGTGTACCTTGAGTTTAAATGACATGAACGACAACAACAAACGACGAGGTTCAAATTCCTTGTTCTGACCAATGCGGTCTATATTTTTTAACCTCCTTGTTCTGACAAGGAGAAACCGGCAGAGATCGAATGATGATAGATGCCATACCCGGCTTCCCGAACCGCGCCCCCCACCCCCCTTCCGCCATGGCAGTTACAGAACGAGCACAGAACACGTACATAATTTTCAACCCGGCGTACAACAGGCTACGCTGACTAATGACATTCCCTGATAAGTTAGAAAGTTGCCAACACGCGATGAGACATTTTTGATTAGGGAAAGTCCTGTGGGACCCCGGTTTCTCCGCCCTCCTCCCACCCCTCAAAAAACGTTACGTTACCGCTGGCAGGTGAAAAATGGAAACCAACGTTACCTTTCGCCTCGCAATCCACGCAGTATTTGTTGTCTTCTTCGCGTAAAAGCTGCGCTAGGATAGCCTGGTGCTTTTCGTTAAGTTTCTTCTCCCTTTCCCTGTCTTTTTCGGCTTTCAGTCGCGACATTTTGGCGGTGAAAAGAAGGACACAAATGTGGCGAAAGGTTGACACTACACACCGGGCGGAACCGGACGAGACTGTTCAGCAGCAAGATGGCACCCGGAAATCAGACGTGTTCCCTCCGCAACGGACTACTTTCTTTCAGCGTAGCACTGGTGGGAAGACACCACAATCATCAAATCGACATCCATTTAAACATTACAAAATATTTATATCAGACGAAAATTCCATATTCACTCAGACAAAAACGAAAATTGAAACGTTAACGATGATCACTTTAGTTCGCTCGGGCGGAGTACTACAAGGTGCCGGGGAATCCCTGTTTGCACACCGCCGGAAATACGTCAGGATGACACATTTTCCCCGAGGGTGACCCACCACTGGCGTGTCTTGTGACTACGTCACTCTTGTTTCATCCAGACAATTTCCAACCCACGGGATTGTAATTATAAGGCCGGCTAGCTCATCTGATATATTATTCAGTCTATCTACTATTTATTTGGCATCCCAATTTGGCGTCACTGTTAAAAGAATGGCTTTCTGAAATCTGAATCTTTTTGACTCTGCCTATCATAACTTTTTATCAAACTTTCATGTTTCAAAACTAACACCAACTGCACTAGCTTCAAGCAAGCACTTTTGACAGTAAGGTACATTTTATAAGAAAAAAAAACATTTGTAATTCCGTAATTATGTTTCAGAAATAAAATACAATACATTTTATCTATTCACCTGTTTGTGACTTGAAAATGTGGTGTCAAATGTCACTTCTTCAAGGTACATATAAAGCAATAGACTCAACTTCATTGTTCAAAATATGAAGCCAGCACTTATTAAAAAGCAACTATACTTTGATCACAAATCATGATTCTTCCACCAATGTCTTACCACATACATTTGTATTTTTATTCATGAAAATAATACAACTTGTCAAGTGTACATGATGAAGTCCAAAAAGCAACTACTGTTCAAAAATGTATCATTTTATTATCCTTCCCTCAAACAATATACTTCTGCATTCTGTTTTTGCCAGCCTGCAAATTTCATTGCTGATACACTTCACTGAAATATCCTTCCTTAAAATATGAAGTACTGCAGAAGAACAGACAGAAATTCATATGTATCAAACCATTTTTCAAGCATTTCAGTATGTGTACCAAATACATCATGTAAGTTATATATAACTGTTACACATGAAAGGTTGGTTTTCCATCGGGATAGTTCATTTATTTTGAGATTCTCAGTCTTTTCAACTCTATCACACTCAACTAGTTTGGGAAGTTGGAATACCTCCACACCTGCACATACTACATACATACTTTACTGTTCAACAGCTGTCACAGCCGAAAATAACATATACATTTTGTCAATAAATGATAATATTGAGCCTGAGCCCAATGTCTGTCAAAAACTGCCAAGGGAAAAATCATGATGTACATGTCCAAACACTTGGAAAACAGCTGAGGCTGCTCCATCTATGAGAAGGGGAGGGTGCTCATTAGAACTACACATTCTGCAATCTCCTTCTCTTTGTGGAACTGGGAGGGTTGGCGGGACTTGAAGGGCTTGACGATGCCAGCTGCCGCGTCCTTTTCCGCTTAGGTGAGCTGTCGGGTGTGTTGGTGGCTCCTGTCCCAGCTCCACGACTGGACTTGGCTCCACCTGGGGGACATGAGCAATGACTGGTCACTTGGTGTCTCAAGTTTCGTACATACAGTCTGAAACCCACATCTAGCATAGCTGCCAAGACTCTTTTCTAGACTACAAAAGAGACTTGGCAGCTATAATAGGAAAAGAGACTTGGCAAGTTGGCAGCTATAATAGGTTTAGATACCAGACTAGTACTACTGTATACAATAAATGGAACAGTATTTCTTCCTCTTGTCCTGTTTTTACCTATATTTTACAGGATTTGCTTCATGTACTTATGGTCTCCTAAAACTTAAAGATAGAAAGATAGGTAGCTATCTTATCACGATACTACCCAGTGTGCTCACCCATATCTGAGTCCCTGGGAGAAGCTGTGTCAAACGACTCGTCAGGGTTTCTGATGTCGTCTGGAAGGATAAACTCTGTCTGGCTGTTTGGGAAAGGCAGGATTTCTGAGTCATGCTGAAAAAAAGAAGAAAATATTACAGGGAAGTTAGCAAACTTTTTTTGGGGGGGGACATGAGTTGTGCAGCTAAAGGGTAGGCAAGCTATTCTAAGTGAATCAGACACACAAAAAAGAGTGACTCAATAAATAGTTGGGCTACACTCATATTGGTCATGACAGAGAAGAGATATGATTACTTCCATTATGATTTATCTACAGCACAGGTTCATTGTATTGGGGAAATACCCCTAGCTATTTTCGATTGTGGTGACTACTCTTCCTGGTAGTGTGCATGTCAGGTAAGTGATAACAGCCAAGATTGAGACTCAAGACTTCTTGGTCCAGAGGCAGAGTTCCTAACACACTATGCAAATGTTTGCACATGACATAAATGTGATTTTTTCGAGCGTTGCGGAGCGACAATCTGGATGGTACCCAGGCTATAATTCCTTACCAGTGCTGGCATATCATACATGTCATCCAGATGGTTCCAGATCTGCTGTACACTGATGTGCCGGTTGACCATCTGGTTCAGTTTTTCGTGGATACATGCCATCTGGAAGTGTCGGTTCACACCTGTACAGCACAAACAGCAGAAGTGATGATTTGTTTGATCTAATTCCTAGGTGTAAAGATCTAAAGTAGCTCTTTCTAGAGATGCCTTGGCTTCAAATGATGCTGACCCTAATTGCGTGATTTTGAGTCAATCTACTTAGGTATTTGCATCGTTAATAAAATTTTATTATGATGCAAAGCCCACTACAAAGCAACTGCCCCCCTCCCCACATGCGAATTTCATACGTCGATTTCTTGCCATAAACAACACACAACTGACCAACAGGCTTGTGTCCTCTCATAGCCTGGAACAGGTTGATCTCCAGGTCCACGCTCCAGTCGACTGGAGGGGCGCCGTCGTCAGTTTTACGTGCTTCACGCCCGGACGCTCGCTTCTCGCGCTCTTTTCTCTCACCTGCCGCCATGTTGGGTATGGTCCATTCAGCTTTAGGGGAGGTTCTAAATACGAAATGTAAATAAAAGGTATTTTTATATTTACTATATGATCTTAAAATACATGTATCATACACAATTATAGTATAAACTTATTAACTGAGATAAATATGTGAACAAATCATATATTAAGAGTTTTAGAAGAAAATAATAATAGAATGGGCCACTGGTCAAATGTTATGTGGACTCTTCCAATAGAATGTTTACCACGCATGTCCATTTCTTGTAAACTTTTTCAAGAGCCAAGTAAAATTTATGGAAGAGTCCTTCTGAGGGGGTTATGGTTATATTTTACATTTCATATCATTGATAAATGCATAAAAATAACTAATTACTTAAAATCAATACAAAATATATACAAAAGTATAACAAATAATGACAAATATTTCCTTTGTATTGGACACAAAATTGTTTGTGTAACAAATATAATATTCTTCGACAGATAATCCCCCCTCCTTAGCCAGTAGTATGGTCTTTACTTCTTGTCTCCACGCTGTCGTAAGTTGAAAAGTCTGACACTTTTAGCTTAGCTGTTTACTTTCGTTTTTCCACGGGTTTTTACTCACTATGGAGGACTGGGACGCTGAGATAAACGACTCAGAGACTTGCGGAACAAGTTTCCGACTCGGGTGCGAGCCAAGCTTTCAGGGAAGAGTCAGTGAAACTCATCGCGGCCGTCAAACCCAAAGCAACGGTCCGGCCGCTGGCTTCGGTCTGGGAAGAGGTGGCGGCTGGGGAGGAGGCGCCCCGCCGACGAACCGCAAGGACGCCGCCGACAGCAGGAACCACGGCTTCGGCAGGGGGAAGTGGGGGAGCGACTCGGACAACTGGAGAGAACCGGGCGGCAGAGCGCCCAGCGCGCGGTCGAACCAGGGCGGTGGTTTCGGCGGCGGGCGCCGAGAGGCAGATGGCGATCGAGGCGTGGGGAGGGGGAGCCGCTTTGGCAACAGGGACGGGGGGAACTCTTGGGACCCCTGGGATGACAGGAACGGGTCTTCACGGGATGACGACCGCGGGGGATTTGGTGGAAGTCGTGACAGGAGGGGGCCTGGGAGGGGAGGAGGGTTTGGCGGCCGGTCATCACAGGACAGAGGCGAGTCAGGAGGAGACAGGAAAGTCATCACGATAGCCAGTACAGAGGTTGGCAAGTTGATAGGTAAGTCATCACAACTGTCAACTATGCGAGGAGGAGCTAGATTATGTGTTATGTATACAAAATATTACAATAGTTCATTGTTAACCATCAACGTCTGGTATTTGTCTCTTGATAAATGTAAATGTAGGGCATTGTCATTGTAACAAGTCTTTTCAAGGAGAAAATTTACCAACTATTATTACCTCAATTGTTCGTTTCTGGTGCTAAATTTTGTTGTCATTATGATCTAAATATAAATATTTTGTGTACCAGGAAAAGGTGGATCAAACATCAACCGCATACGGGATGAGAGTGGAGCCCGCATCAATGTGAGTACCCAAAAATACTGTTGTCGATATACTTTAAAAGACTGAGCATTCCCTAAAAAATATCTATAGACATTGCCTTCTTCAAGTTGTTGGATTTATGTTACTTTGATTTATTGATTCAGGATTTATAAATGGGAGACCACCTTGCACACATTCCTAACAAAAGTATGAGATTCATGCAGCACAAATTTGTCCAGAGTATATATTGGCAAAGAAGACTATCAGCTTAATCTGTTACTTTGATCAATGGATTGACACAGGATTTACTCACTGGTATAATGGAAGACCACCTTGAATGTATTCCTAGCAAAAATGTGTGGTCTGTGCATCATTGACTTGTTCAGAGTGGATGTTGGCAAAAAAAAAGACTGTATGCGCTCACTCAGCAGTTCCTTCTATCCCTCCACAGATAGGTGAACAGGATATTCTAGAGACTGAGGTGGAGTTGGTGGGGTCACCTGAGGCCATTGAGCGGTGTGAGACCCTCATTAACGACCACCTGCACCCCGAGGACAAGATGCGCGAAGAAATGAACAGTGAGTAGCTAACAACAAATCAGTAAATGTGATTTACAGTGGTCTAGAATCTTTTGAACATTTTGTTGAATATTTAACTAGATTCTACAAAGTTTTGCTTCTATTACTATCTTGCCATAGCTTGCCTTGGCAGTTTTTGTGATGTTGATGTTTCACATTTTCTTACCTTCTTCTTTTCAGAAATGGCCTTGGAAACTCCAGCGTGAGTAATATGCTTAATAGAAATCAGCATTGAATGGAATAGCAATAGTTTATGAATTGTTTTTATTAAGTGATGTTGATTATTAATGTTATGTCTTGTCATGACTAGTAGAAGATAAGCTTAGATTTCATTGAGCTAAACCGGGTCATTGAAATCAGGATCACTTCCAGTGTTTCACAATCCATGACTTCTTTTCTATCCAGACCCAGGATCAACTGGAAGCAGCTGCATGCCAACAGGGAAGCCATGGAGGCAAAGAAATGGGAACGTGAGTAGGCAGTAGGCTCTTACAGGCTCAGGGGGCAGCCTGGAATGTTAGAAATTGGCCAACTATGTTGAATTATTTGCCAGAGGAGATCTAGATAAGCTGGCCATTTTCTATGAACCTTTTTGGCCAACTTCTACTGCCCACAGTTTGGAAGAGGTAACCAGTCACCTGTTCAATTTTTGCTGTTGCCGACTTTGACTCTATTGAGCTAGATACTAGATAACAATAGAGCACATTTTAACTTCAAGGTACGTAATCATAGATGTTTAAGGTATAATTGAGTGCACCCCTGTATAGCATATAATTAGCCACTTCTGTGAAGCTGAGTCTTGTCTTGTTGTGCCTTTTGGTGATATACTGATTTTGTTGTGTTTCTTTTGTCCCCAGACTGCCCGCAGATCAAGAAGAACTTCTACTTTGAAGACCCAGGAGTGGCAAATATGACTCCTGAAGAAGTAGAAGAATTTCGGTGAGATTAATCAAACCTGCATTCTTTATTTATTCATTGACTTGGTTACTCATTTCCTTCATTTTCATGCCTTGTTGATTGGGGATTGTGGCTAAAATAGGCTTCCGTATCGCTTTATTCACACAGGAAGGCAAACAACAAGATCACCTGTACTAGTGAGGCAGGAGAGCAGGTCCCCAACCCTGTCAGGACATTTGAGGAAGCTTTCGAACACTACCGTAAGTCCTACTGTGTAGGGTTGTAGACATACTTCACTAATATTATGAAGATTGCTGTGTAATATTTGAGATGTAGGGAGTGCAGTTGTTTGCCTTAATACCTTTGCTTCTTATTTCTCAACTAAATTTTCGACTGTGCAGTGTGCATACCTTATTGCATATTTCTGGATTTTTAGGTTGGTTGCAGGGCTCTTTCCAGCTCTTGGGAAAGCGCAGCGTCACTTTTCCTCATGGCATTGTCTGTAAAAGCTTATAAATACTCGAATTAGAACAGTCCAATGTGCTACAATGCTTTCTTAAGGAATCGCTGTTATTGGTGTAATATCCACAAGATTAGTCACAGACTCAGCCTTTGGGCTAAGAAGTCACCAGAGGATCCACCCCGCCTGATGAGGGGCTGCATTGGAACTGATGGACTACCAGAGAGATTGAGTCATGGACCCATTAAAGAAGTCATCTTGTTGCATCCATTCTATTTTTCCCTCCAGCTGAGATCCTGACTGAGATCTACAAACAGAAGTTTGAGACGCCCTCACCTGTACAGAGTCAGGCATGGCCGATAGCCCTGCAAGGAAAAGACTTCATCGGCATTGCTCAGGTAAACAAAGATTCTAACAAACAAACAAACAAACAGCCTGTACTGCTTATGGTGTTGCTTACCCCCGGTAAGTTGACAAACAGATAAACATCTTGTTGCATAGCAGCCATCTGCCTTTCTAAGTGCTAGTAAGTGTCTGTATTCGACAATAATACTGGTAGAACAAAGAGCAGCAATGTTGACAAGAAAATAACTTGTCAACACATGAATGTCAGCAAACTGTTGCATGTATTTCAGACAGGAACAGGGAAGACGTTGGCCTTCCTCCTACCTGGACTCATCCACATAGACCTACAACCTTGGTGAGTCACACTTCTCCCTGCTGCCTAGTCCCATAACCAACGGATAACTGATAGCCAAATGGCTACTTTAATGTGCTGCAAATACTAGTAGCAGACAATCACTCCTGTCCGAGTAGTCAATTCATGTCAGATCCTTTTGGCCTCAGTTGTACATGTATCGTATACACTGTATATTACCAGAATTCGTCTTTCTATGTGCATCTAGATATATTTATCCAACCTCCTGTATCACACCTTTTGGCAAAGATGTAATCTTCTTGCCCTTCTATCTCTAGCCCACGTTCCCAGAGAGGAGGTCCCAACATGCTGGTTCTGTCCCCCACTCGTGAGCTGGCCCTGCAAATTGAGAAAGAAGCCAAGAAGTACAGCTATAAGGGCATCAAGTGGTGAGTACAAACACATTGTGTCCTGCTATCTGGCAGCTTCTTTGCACTAAGGTTGCATCTATTATCTAGCTATGGTTAGGGACGTCCTCTCAGATTGGACGTAAAGTTGGAATTGAACCCAGAACCTTCAGACTGCCAACTACACATCACTTAAATATTGAAAAGAGTAGGGGTCCTTCAGGCTGTCCTCTTGAAAAGGTGATAGTCACCTGTTATAACTTATATGTCAATCCTTCCACATGTGGCAAGTCTCAAGGCAATAAATTATGAATGACGCACCTCCCCCTCCCCTCCAGTGTGTGTGTGTACGGTGGAGGGAACCGGCGTGACCAGATCAACCTGGTGCAGAAGGGCGTGGAGATCATCGTGGCGACCCCTGGCCGGCTCAACGACCTGCTGATGAACGGCATCCTGGACATCACCAGTGTCACCTTCCTGGTCAGTCACTCACTCATAAACATGATGGCAGAATGTAATGCACCTGGGGACCTGGGGAGAGAGTACTTGCAATCTAAGGGGGATCTGGGGGCAAATTTTGGATTGTAAAAATACAATTTCCCACATTTTAAAAGGCAAATCACGGGGTTAATGGTGGTTGTTGATGGTCCTTTATATGTTTTTATATTTTGACCCAAAGTTTTATCAAGGTTTATGGATTAGTTTTAAAAAATTTCCGTCACATTCCAGCAATTGAAAGAAAAACAGGTGCTGGCTAGAGCCCTGGCACCTGCACAAACCATGAGGTCCTGTCCTGATCTGTCGCTTGAGAAATCTTAATAATCAGTATGGAGGATGAAGAAGGTGGTTGATGACATGAGCGGTTGTCCCACTGCCGTCACTGTCCTCCCAGAGAAAGAGCACTTTATACACCCCCGCAGTTGAAGGTTACTGTGGCAGGTACTGCAAGTGCTGACAGTGTATTCTGACAACATGTCAGCAGAACATACTGACCAAGAAGTTATGAGTTTGAATCCCGGCTGTTGTCGCTCACAGCATGTATGCTTCTGGAAATGGTCACAGTCTTTAGGACTAAAGTTAGGGCGGGTGGTTTATAGTTCATTGTTCTTGAAGTCTTACCACACAATCTTTTATTTTCCTCTAGGTTCTTGATGAGGCAGACCGCATGTTGGACATGGGATTCGAACCCCAGATCATGAAGATCCTCCTGGACATCCGACCTGACCGACAAACAATCATGACCAGGTAACAGATTAAGTTTTAGCAGTAAACCATAGCTTTCGTTTGAAAGCTTTTGCTTTTGTAGAGTGGAACTGATTACCACCAAATACAGTAGGGGAAGTCTTCTCTCTATGTATCTTTAAATAACACTTAACATGTGTATTTGCAAAGGTTACATGTAGGTGTAATAGGTTGTTCTGCTCAATATAGCCAACTTCTGTGTGATGTGTCTGCAAACTGGGTGTGTTAAGCAGAAGGGTGGTTACACCTTCCATATTAAGACACTGTCACAAGACTACACTTAATACTTTTGATGTGTAGTAAACAGTACTAACATGTTCAAAGGACTACTAAGTATCTGTTATCTTGTACCATGTTTGATGCATCAATTATTGCACACCTGTACGTCTCCCCTCACAGTGCCACCTGGCCTCCAGGTGTGCGTCGCCTAGCAACCAAGTACATGAAGAACCCCTTCATGGTCAACGTGGGATCCCTGGATCTGGCCGTCAGTCTTCTCAGTCTTCCTTTTCTTAATGAGTTGTTAGCATGGTTCAAATTAACCTTTTCCCTGTTGCCTAACCCAGTAACCAATAGAGATCTGCTGCCTAACCCAGTAACCAATAGAGATCTGCTGCCTAACCCAGTAACCAATAGAGATCTGGTAGCTAAACAACTAGTTCAGTGTGCTAAAGGTTGTAGGTCAAACAAAATTGTCTCAAATCTCAGTAGCTGAGGAAATGTGATGGAAGTAGCTGTGGAGTTGTGTATTTGACCTAGATGCTATCTTCAATGTCAAATGCTATCTTTCATAACAAATCTTTTTGTAACCTTGCTGCAGTGGTCTTTTAAAGTAAAGAAAACGGTATCGCAGGCTTGCATACCCCTTTTTTCACCATCAGGATGTGCAAAAACATTTTAGAAGTGTTTTAGATGAACTTTGTACTACAGTTCCGTGTTTAGTTTACCTTTAGTAGAATATATGTAAGCCACATTGAATTGACTTCCCTTTCCACCTTCCCTCACCAGACGGTTCACTCAGTCACACAGTATGTGGAGATCATTGATGATGAGTGCAAGAAGGACAGGGTGAGTTTATAAGCTATAGTGCAACAATTACACAGAACCAGATATTGACATGAATTTGTAGTTTGTTCTAGATTGATGGCAAAGTCGATGTGTGCATATTGATTTTGAATCGATCTGATACAATTTGGATTGCCACAATACAATACATGTGAAACACTGAATGCTGTACCCTCCAAGTAGGGGTTTTCGTCCAACATTTGTTACTCCGTGAAGGAGGTCAGGACCTCCGGACGGAGTGTTGTAATCGGCTGATTTTTCATGTTCGCAGTCAAAACACTGGGTTCTCTTTGTGTAATCGGCACGCAATTTTATACGCCGTCTGCGGGCATGCCCGTGTTGATGCACGAATGTGTATTTTTGCCGTTGCTGCTTTCGCGGTCAATGTAATATCGCAGACGCACCCCTACAATTACGAGGCGAATTGGAATGGTCCAGAAAAACGCGTTGTTTGGAATAGCAGTGGGGTTCAAAAAAGTTCATGCAGATACGGGGTGGTTTTTATAAGTGGTTCCAGATGTTTTTGCCCATGGTTAAGAGATGCCAAGTTTTTTGGAAGATGTTCGCAGCCAAAACGCATTCTTCCGTACGTCGCATTTCTGTGTAATTTCGCATGTGGTGTTGCATTATGTCCGGGATGATGCACGTCTTTTTATTTTTACCGTAGCTGTTTTGATATTGGAGTAAATGCTTATTTTCGAAACATCCCCATTTCTTTGAAATGGTTTCGTCCGTTTATGCAACTGTTACTGCGCTAATGACGACCAGTCGCGCTGTCCTGATACACCGCGAATGTGCGAGTGTTCCCTGTAGACAGTCCCGGGAGTCATTTTTTTGCACATTCCAGGAGCCAAACCAAAATACGTTCATGAACCGAGTCCAAAAAACCGAAACGTGAAAATCGGATGATCGGACCTGATGTACATTTCTCTTTCTATAGATTGTACACACAATACACACATCTTTAGATAATCTGGCCATGGCAGGTTAAAAAAAAGTAACCCTGAATCATACTAGATTAGCGTAAATGCATGTTAATGCGTTCAAAACAAGGAAAAAATTGTTTCCGGGTATTAATCTCTTGAATCACGGCGCTGAATATTGACGCAAAAATATTTCGGGCATCGCGCGCCCTTCCCGCGTCACGTGTAGGCATCTCGCATCTCTGATTGGTTGTTGCGTCTTAAGATGACTGAGCCGACGCGCGTTTAAACAATTTTTCTTTGTTCGATTTATCACACTTCACAGAGAATTGTCGCCAATGGCTACTTCTTTTTGTTGCAATATATAATACTTCACGGAGAATTGTCGCCTATGGCTTCTTGTTGCTGTTTCTTTCATTTTCCTTCCTGTATGAAAGAAATTGTGACCGCAATTAAGAAAACGTTGAATCATAGAAAAGGCCTAGAATTGCCCCTGATAAAAACCTCTGCTTGGAGAGTAAGTAAGATGGTTGAAGCTGATTGACAAGAGTTGATGTCTCCTACAGGTGAGACAGTTCTGTCTGGAGGAGATGGACGAGGATGATAAGGCCATGATCTTCGTGGGACGCAAGGTCACGTAAGTTCAGCACACTTTTCCGTTCAACGGTAACCTCCAAGCAGATCTCCTGGTGGCAAAATCGTAACTGCTGTTCTAGGGCAGATCCTTGGGCCAGGGAAGCACCCTAGTTAACTCTTGGTGTAATGTTCTTGTGTGTTTCCAGGGCTGATGACCTGTCCAGTGACTTCTCCCTGGATGGCATCAACTGTGAGTGTATCCATGGAGACAGGTCAGTGTTCTGTGCAGTGTTATTGTAGGCAGCCTGAAATTTTGTCCGTCATCTCAATTTTGTTTGATGCAGGACAGTTGCGAATGCTGAAGGAGCCAGTTGTTATCCTGGCGGCACTACAATCCGAGGAGGGTCTGGGGGCTTTTGTAGTGTTGTAAGTTTGTAGTTGAAGCGATTCTGTATCACAGTTGTATTACATTGGAAACACATATTACGCGTACATGAATTTATGGAAAAGAGAACTGTTGCAATAATTAACATCTGATGCAAAGAAGTTGGTTATGAGTACATGTATGTAAAAAAGGTTGTGTGTTTTCATAGGGAGCAGTGTGACCGAGAGTCTGCTTTGGAAGCTCTGAAGACAGGTGAGCTAAACTGGGCAAAGCAGAGTAATGACATCAAGTCAAACAAGCTTATTGGTCACAATGCAATGTTACACTGACATTATTGGTTATGACCTGTGTGTGAGCTATAAGTCAGATCATTTGTGTTGGTTTAACCTTTTCCCAGCTGCCTAACACTGTAACCAATAGAAAGTTGGTAGCCAAACAGCAACTGCAGTCATGTGAAAGATTAATGTGTGGTCTAACTGTAACATGCTGACATTGACAGGAATCGTGAGGATCCTGATAGCCACTGACGTTGCCTCCAGGGGGATAGACATCAAGGATGTAACGTGAGTAGAGATTGCACCAAAAATCTGTCAGTTACTAGTATATTCTTCTAGAGCTTTCAATTTTAAACATTTTATTAACATTTGACAGTGTATGGATCTGTGTCATATTGAATAAGCTGTATGATAATAACATAAATATCACATATCACTTGTCCAATAGCATACGTGTATAGATCTGTGTCTGTGAATAAGCTGGATTAAGATAACTTAATTGTATCACATTCACATATCACTTATCCTCTAGCATCCGATGCAAAACATTTTATTAATGTCTGTCGATCGGTGTTGATAAGCTCTATAACACAGTATCTTGTGATTGTGATACCATATTCTCATGTCTTTCCAGCTGGGTTGTGAACTACGACTTCCCCCGTGATATGGAGGAGTATGTGCACCGTGTGGGGAGGACAGGCAGAGCTGGGTGAGTCTGGGTTGGGAGAATTTGTCAGATTCAGTTGCTGTTTCCAATTAATTTCTGTGACATTCATAATAATGGAAGCAAATTTCTACATTTGTTGAGGGTCCACATCACTCTCACACCTACAAAACCAAAACTGTAATGTTTTTGATGTAGTTCAAAACTTCATTTACTGTACGATTAGATGCTCGTAATTGATAGATCACCAACTTGTCTTGTTTGTATTTATCTTGGTTTTATCCACCTTGTAATTATGCGTGTATCTTGTCAAAGTGTTTTATAGTCGTCATATGTTTTTGAGTAGAAGGTGTCATATAAGCAACTTTTGCTTTTTGCCTCATACTCAATAAATATATGTAATAAAAAAAATAAAAAAATTTCTACATCTGAGATGGCTTGATGATCACATTGGTCTTTTGTGACCTTAGCCGCTCTGGAAGGTCGCTGTCGCTGATGACTAGAGGAGACTGGAAGAATGCAAAGCACCTGATTGATCTGCTTGAAGAAGCTAACCAGGTGAGGCTACATGTATATCTCCTTCACTACAGTATCAGCATCAAGTACCTGGACCTAAACAATTTTAAAAAGTTGTGGTCTCCAATGACTGACAGAAACACGCTAAATAAACAGTTAACAAGAATGTTTATTTAGATTTCATCTCCTTTCCAATGCAATGTAGATGGGGATGGCTGAGTGGCTCTTGAGCAACCAAACTTGGCTTTAATTGTGTGACCCTTTATCTTATATTTGGAATATGATGTGAAACAATAAAAATTTTTTTTTTCTATGAAATTATGTCAGAGATCTGTCAAGTATTTGGTCCCTGGTTAGCCTGGGTTCCAGACCCATAGCACACTGGACACAAAATATCTCAGTGAGCCTGAGATATTTTGTGTCCAGTGTGCTATTGGTCTGGAACCCAGGCTAGTCCCTGGTTGGTCTCAGCCCCTAGTGGAAAGGAGCGTAATGAACTTACCTACCTTATCTTGTCCCATCTGCTGTTCTAGGAGGTTCCACAGGAGTTGGTGGACATGGCCGAGCGCTACCAGAAGTTCCGTGAGCGTCGTGACGCCGAGGGTCCCCGCGGCGGTGGAGGTGGAGGGGGTCGGCGTTACGGAGGAGGGGGTGGCGGAGGATTTGGAGGAGGGGGTGGGGGGTTCGGCGGCAGAGGTGGAGGGTTTGGGGGTGGCTTTGGTGGTGGTGGAGGCAGGAGAGGAGGGAGAAGAGACAAGTTTTCTGCCGTCATCATTCCCCAGTACGGTATTGCATAGTGGATTTACATGTTCCCTTGCTGCGGGTACACCAGGATACCTCACGAACATTCCAAGTGCCAAACTTCAACATTGTCAAGGTGCTAAGTTTTCCTGCCGAGTCTGAAATGTTACATGCTTGTATTACAAACTATGGTGCCGTCACCTTCGTCATAAGTTGACAGTTTTGATGTGATAGGGACCGTTGACAGGGATCTAAGGCAGCCTTTTCATTTGGAAGACTTTATGTATGACTTTTGCAATAATGCACTTATTACTTTCTGATCATATGATGAATGTGACCAAGCCCTTAGTTAAAGAGCTAGCAACAGCAGTCTGCGGTATTTAAACGTTTGTTGCGTTTTTGTTTCACACCACAAGACTTGTAATACTTCAGCAGACCAGCATATTTTCATTTGTTGCTGTGATGAACACATACTGTATGTCTTGTGCCGCAGCCATCGTGAAAACTAACAGAGCATACATTGCCATTTTGTTTTAGTATCCTTACAAGTTTCTCTGCAAGCATTCTTGAAAGTCAATATATCAGAGAAAGGAGACTGACTGAGCACCTATGTTTTAGGTTTGTTTTAACAAAGCCAACCTCCTTGCCAAGAATGTACAACAATGCAATGTGTGTTGTTATACTCTATTTTTTGTCACAGGATGTATTTTTGTAATGTTTTTAGTTAACTTTACATAGAAGTAGATTGTGCTCTAGCCTTTAGTTTACAGAAATATGTGCCTGGAAAATACTTGTTTGAAATTGTACTGGTTCTCATTAATGACATACCTCAGAGACCATCCAGACTTACAGCACAAGTTACTGCAGCTGTATAAACTAGAACTGTACCTTGCTAGAAAGTGTTATCAGCATTGTACCTCATCTTCAGTTTCAAGGTACATGTTGTGGTAACAGTATACCATAGCTCTATTCTAAGGTACTGTGCCAGTGGTAACCAAAACTGCAGTAAGCAGGTGATGGTGGAAAACCGAACCAGTAATATGTGTGTACCTGTGTTGATCTCAAGCACATGTATGGTACCTCTTGATGCGACTAAGCACTGGTACAATGGTTCTTAAAGCCACAATAGACCTCAGTAGTGTGACCAAACCCTTGCACATGTGCCTAACAACCGGTCCTATTTCTGTTCCTACTGAATACCAGATGAAATAAAGATATCATTCATGATTTTTGTATCATTCAGTCAGTACCTTCCAACCACTCTCCAAACAAGCCGGTATAACCGCCCTTCGGCGTAACACACCAGCTCTGGTCAAGAATGAACTCGGACAGAGTCCGACAGACCATACTGCAGTTGTTCATGTTTATTTAGGATAAAATAACGTTCACACTACAGTCATTCCCACTGAAATGCCAAAATAACAAAGCATAAACCAATGAAAGGGATGCCTACTTCTCTTCTTACATCTTTTTTTTTGGTTAGAAACAGCAATTTGGACATTTCAATGAGAGCAAGTCCACACTGCTGTATTACAATTTCATTGCTACTAATGTTAGTGTCTATATACATCTATATGAAATAACATAAATCCTAATAATGCATTACACTGATAAGAAATGGCAACGCAACTATTACATGTTAATTATTTCAAAGTTGCACAATGTGCCTTTCAGTGATCTGAACACTGAATTTCGATTGATCATCAATTCCTTGAATTAAGTATTGGGCGACTAATGTCAATTTCTGGACCATTAATTAAAATTTTTCAACCTAAATATATGCAATTCTACCTTTAAAAACCATTACAGTGGTGCAATGTACAATTTTTATCAAGAGCTGGAAAGTACGAGTAAAGGTGGTTGACAAGAGAATCTGTGTCCGAACCATCACTAAGGTGTAGATGATGGTGACTTCAGAGTCATAAACAAAGTGTCTGGCCCCAGATGGTATTCTCCCTGTTCTATAAGTAGTACATACTAGTACAAAGTACTACTTGTAGCACAGGAAAGCTGCCGTTCCACAGTAACTTTCCGCAAACTTCCGGCCATCCGGTGTGGGGTCGGAGAATGCCACATCATCCTTGGACAGAATGCAGCCAAACGCAAAGTGGGACCTGTGAGAAAGAACACAAATATGTGTTTCATTGAGCATTTTGCAGCTAATTAATTTTAGAACCCCCAATTTTTTTGTTGTTGTTGCAAATCAGAAAAAAATGGACAGGGCGATTCGAGAAGCAGCAAATTAAATTGGTGTGGCCTAAGGTACCTTAGTGTGTCCACCAGTCTGCTTGCGACTTTCCTCTTCCTCCACAGGCGGAACGTCCAGACCCGGCTGATCCCGCAGACCGCAGCGACCGGCCTGGTGTCACAGCACCACGCACGCGCGGGGGAGGGGGGCAGCGGGCTGGGCTGGCTGTCACTGGGCAGGACTCGGTATGCCTAGAGGAACATGGCAGAGGGGGGCATTAACCCAAGAGGCAGCCATAATGTTTTGTAAGACAAAACTTACCATCAGTCCATAATTGTCCACATATATAGCAACAAATTTTTCTTGCTCTACTACATGTACATTCAATTCTCTTTTATTCATTCAACTTCAAGAGTTTTAAGGAATACAAGCCATCAAAACCAAGGTTCACCAGCATCTACTGGTACAGTCATCTATACCTCCCAACAAATTAGCTTGGTGCCAAGAACTGGTCTCTTAGCCTAAAGCGAGTAAACCTGTTGAAAAAATATAAAAGCTCTCCATACCTTTGAGATTTCCTCTGCAATCACACATCCCACCACTCTCTTGTCATTGGAAATAAACAGCAGCGTCTAAAAACAACATGTTTTAGATGTAAGACTTTTGAAAAGCCACCCAGTTTATTTATGATAGAATCTGATTACATCATAGAATATTAATGATGATACCCGGCTATAGAATATTTAAAAAATGCCAGTTTTAGATCATAAAATCAAATCAATAGTAAGTGTAACTCCTGACTGAGGCACAAGTGTCACTATATACAAACTGATGAAGTTCTTTGTGCTTACCTTACAGTTGGAGCGGGTTGTTGAGTAACCTTTGATAAAACCCAACTCATTATCAACCAGCACTCGCACCTCTTCAGCCTGTACAAAAGATACACACAAAAATATTGATGACAAGTAATACCGGTACAACTCCCACATGTTAGATGACAGTTGACATCCCAGAGTTTACACCCTACAAGAAACACAGGTTTACACAAACTGCAGGTTATACTGTCATGGGGAAGATTGAGGACAGGTCCAACAGGGGTAAAAGGGGGAAACAGTTAGTACACCCATAACACTACACATGTTACTGATTGACATACCTTCTTGATAGCATACTTGGGGTCGTCTGGCAAGACCATGATGATGCGTCCATCGTGAAATGTGGCTAAAACATGCTCCTTCTTCCAACCCTACAGACAAGGACAAAAGTTGGCTCAATTGTAAGAAACGGCAGACATTTCACAATCAAGCCTTACATAACATTACAAGAAGATATGACAAATATCATGGCCTTTTAAGAGACCTTTGTTCATACCGAGGTAAAGGCAAAATAGCAGGTAAAATATTTTCCTTTTTCCACAACGTTAAACGGGCACAATGTTTATAAACTTTGGCACACAGTAGAAACTGCTTGGTTACAAACTATTGGCCAAGGCAGCAGGCAAATGGTATAAAATATTCTCTATGCTATCAAACACAATTACATTGAAGTTGTGTGTGGTTGATCTGTCCTCACCTCAAACCTGACAGAGTTGAGGAACTTGTGGTGATATTTCTGGTGAGCTGCTTCATCATCAGCGTGTCCCACGGTGTACAACATCCCACAGGTCTCACACACGATCGCACCGATCTTCTTCTGTCCAGCGTCCTGCAGGGAGGGAGGATTGACATAACAGATGACTATAACCTTTTCAAGATGTCAATGCTGAGACCAGACTGCAAGCCACTCACACCAGGACAGTGGCAAAAGAGCTGGAGAATTCCAGCCACACATGGGACAGTATCCAGAGAGCTGCCCTTTACAGAAGGAAGTGAACAGTTTTCATTGCTACCCTACATGCCAGGACTGGCATTAAGGACAATAATAAAGTAATTAAGTGATAAACTTCCCACACCCTGTCCCCTGTACTTACAATGATAAGTTGCTCCATGCCCTGTGGCTCCTTTGATTTCTTGGGCAGTTTCAGTTTCCCGGTAATCCGTGGACTGGAGCGTGGGGAACTGAAAAGGGGAAACAATCATTATCATCGTCATCTGGTCATGACAGTTTCACAGATACAGAAATAACTCTTTGAAACATTTTCCTTAGAATCTAATCACTACACTTACTCATTAGATTAGATTATGTGTATACTGCTGCAGTAGTCTCTGACATGAGTAGGCAGCAGTCAGCTGGACTTTACGTTGCACCTCCAGGCGGCCCTATCCGGTGGGTTTACACTTTGTAGGGCGTGCCCCTGTAGCCCCAAATAATAACTTCATACAACAGAATGAAGGATCCGTGGGGTCATGTGGCGCAACGGCAGCGTGCGCGACTCGGAATCAAGAGGTCCCGGGGTCGAGTCCTGACATGCCACTGATCTTGTGCCCTTGGGAAAGTATTGTCTGTCTAGTATTCGTTTCTATGTGTGGGACACAACACCAGCAACAGCTGCCTCTGTTCCACGTGTATTGCATTGTTGCAATTTCAATGAATAAAAAATAAAATAAAACAAAACAAAATGAATTGCCTAACAAACCACTGGCTGTTAGTAGTAATTTCAATTCACCTTTTGTTGAAGAGGCGGGACCTCGGCCTTGGAGATGAGGAAAAGATGGGCCAGCACTTCTTCAGCCGCTTGGCTTCGGGTTCACCTGGGAAACGACATACACAATCGCCTACAGGTGAGAATAATAGAAGAGGATTCAGATGTCATTGCAAAAGGTAATGACATATCATCCATAAGCTTGCATATTGGAAGGTTGAAGTAGCATCATTATTCAAACCTTCTTGGTACTGATTGATCTAAACAGGTTTCTTGCATGACAACTAAACAACACACAAATTTTGCACATACAAATGTATTTGAACAGAATGTATGTCATTGGTCATTAAGATTGTAACTGTTTGAACATCAATCAACTCTAAAGCTTACCTGATTGGTCCTCCATGACCTCTGACCCACATCCAGAATCTGAACTTGACTTTGATGGCGACACCTCTTCCCCTGCTCTAAAATCTACCTCAGTCACTGCCGTACTCATGTGGGTCCCATCTTTCTCTGCACTGCCTCCTGAATTGTACCCGGGAAACAGGTCCTCTGATCCACACACAGAGTTGTCCATGTCTGCGTCATTCCAATCATTTGATGCAACGTCCTCGTCTTCGTTGCTTTCGGGAGCGTTGGCAAGTTCCTCAAATGCCATCAGCAATTCATCCTGCTCAGACCTTCCGGTCACTTCTGAAACAGTTCCAGCCGATCTTTTTGATTCTTTACCAGAGGTTTTCCCCTTGGGACTCTTTTTTAGAAAGGCGTGCAGGGTAGCTTGCTTGGTCTGCCGTTGTGTTGGGGAGGATTTAGGTGACACCTGCTGTGGAGCCTTCGCTCTCTGTGGGCTGCTAACCATGCTAGCAGCTTTCTGGTCATCCCTCTGTGACTCCACAGTGGTGGCATCATCAACTGGTAGGGCAGGGCCGATGGCATCAGCGCTTGCCAAACTCCCAGTGTCATCTCTTTCCTGGTTGTCATTGTCACTGAAGAGGGACGGGGTTTCTGTGAGCGTGTACACAGTCTCATCTACACTGCATGGTGGGGTCCGCGGAGCGGATTTGGTAACCCCTGTAGTTTGTGCTTTCTCTAAGCTTGAGGATGTCTTCTTCAGCTGTGGTGTTGTGGCTTTCCTTGGACTCTGTCTTACGGAAGTTAAGCTTGGGCTGGAAGATTTTCTTGGGCTCTTTCTGAGAGGTGCTTTCTGTCTCACCCTGATAGTCTTGGTCTTCACAGGTATGGTGATGATGTATTTCCTTGGGCCAACTGGGGCAGCAGGAGGAGAAACAGTTTTTTCGCCGTTCGGCCTTTCTGCCGAGGTTTCTCGCGACCGCTGCGCTCGCTTCTCCTCGATCTCCCGAAGGTACTTCCTCTCCAAAGGACCAATGTAAGGCCGCTTCTGATTGGCTGACGACTTGTTGTAGAAGGATTGCGCCGTGTGCTGGGACACTTCACTGGATTTCTCTATGCTGCTGTGGGGAATGCAATCACACAAACTGTAGTGAGTATAACTAACTTATAACATACTAAACATGTTTAACATTGATGTACTAAGGTGACAAAAAAAAAAACATTGGAAACATTCAGTTGTCTCTCTATTTGCTCCATTGACTGTTAGTGTTCCCACTTTTAAGAAATAATGCTTTCGTGGCAATGGTTTATGGCAACAGTTTTTAGCATGATCCATACTAATACTTCCTAAATTCTGACTCAGAGTAGAGCAGGTAAAATTCGTCTGGTGCACGTAATTTTCACAATGTTATCTACACCAGTGCTGAGAAGCAGAAAAAAGTATTTCAAGCCCGTGTATCACTCTGATTGAACATTACCTGTCCACAGTGTCAAGTTTCCTTTTCTGTGTGGTTGGTGTTCGTCTGCCACGTGGGGACCTGTGGAGAGAAATTGGCAAGTATTTATGTAACTTCATTTGTGAACCTGCTTTACTGAGGTCAAGGATTGAATCACTTCAAGCACACTATGCCGTATGCTCAAAGTCAAGAACTGGAATTATCAATTGTAAGGTTTGGTGTTCAATAACAGAAGGGCGTACCGGTATATTTTGTAATTCCATTTCCAATAATACTTATTATGGTTCAAAATTATGTAACCTGGAACTGTTGCAATTCAATGTCATCATCATGATGGCACAACACTTTTGACACAAAAATGTGCCCCTCCCCCTCATCATTGATTTCAACTACAAGTACAAATCAGAGTTAAATTTAGAGCAAGCTTATTCCATTTATTGCATGCCACAGGTCGTCTACGACACAACGCATTATATTATTCAGTTTTTGTTAACTTATTTTACGAGGGATAACCTGCAACCAAGGACATTATACAACATATCGGATACTGCCGTTGTGCTCAGTGATCGAGCTACGATGTACAACATGACAGGAGCGAGACTATCTTTCCAATATATCGTGCTAGATATCACACACGTTAATATAAACTCCCCATGTACATTCCTGGATACTTAGCACATACATAGGCGCAATTTAAGACCCGATCTCTACTTGTGCGCCACAAAATTCCCGATTTTCGCGAGCTTACCTCCGTTTCCCGCTTTCAAATCCCGCCATCTTGTCTCGTTTTTCGCGGGAAAAATAATTTGATCCAGACGTATTCCCAGAATATTTTTAAGAAATTATATCCTATCAACAATGTACCTGTTTTAAATATTTCAGATAAAATAGCATTATATGAAAGTTAATTCGAGCTTTTTAAATGTTTTTTCTCCTTTTTGCAGACGAGGAAAAATTGACCTTTGACCTCCGCTGAGCAAGAGACTTCCGGTTTCAGACGGTGTCGTCAACTTCGTCTTAGTTTTTCGTCAGTTTAGGACTGTTTAGAAATCTTCAAGATGGTCTTCTACTTTCTGAGTAACGGTAAGACTGAGGCGTCTATAACTACACTTTGTGTTTGAAGAAAACAGCTGTGTTTTGGAGATACATTTAATTTTTGTGTGTAGACATAACGTACAACATGTGGAGATGTAGTACTCTCCAAGCAGAGGTTGTGGGGGAATGATCGTTACATTTAATTATATATGGCCGTTTTTTTGTCCTGACCCCACCAACCGTCGGTGGCCGCGGAGCTTCTCTGGCTAATGGATACTGCCTGGCCAATTTGATACTGTCTTTTTGCCACCGAGAGGGATCTGCTTGGAGATTACTTAGAGATGTAGATAATATTTTACAGCCCCCCTCCCCCCAAGATCCTTGCAAGTATTTCGCCCAGGTTGTCGACTTTGGCATTAGTTAATTTCAAGATTTTCAACTATTTCTCACAGTCTAGAAAATAGCTTTCAATTGTGGGATAATTTTTTTCTTTTTTTTTCAGTCGTTGACCCGCCCATGAAGATTTATATGGGATTGGACAAGTATGAAAGTAAGTTTATTATGATACTGTTATCAACATTGTCCAATAAACATTGGCTTACGAACACCCACTATGCTGATTAGAAAGTTGAATGAACTTCTGTATCTGTATAGTTATAGCCGGTATAACCGCCCTTCGCCGTAACACACCAGCTTCGCAGGCACGCGGCGCGGCGGCAGCTAGCTGTATCACGCCGAACGTCACGGCGGCAGCTAGCTATATAACACCGAACTTGCTTAGTCCAAGTACACGGCATTTGAACACCAAGTTTGTTTTAGAATAATTTGTTACTAGTAACATATTTATTCAAATGAGACAATCGATATTGTATAATTATATCACTGATTAATAAATATGTTGATTTAACTTTTTCAGATGAAGAGTTACTGAGATGGGGATGGCCAGAAGATGTTTGGTATGTCTTTTTATGTTGTTAGTTAGTGGTAGAATAGCCTGGATACCCAGGTTTACCCAGGCTAACATGTTGTGGGAGCCTGCAAGTAGGCCCTGGAAACAGCCTGGCATCCTGGCTAGTGGTAAAATTATCAACGAAGCATGGAAAAGTGATTATATTTAAATTTGACCACTGTTTGATCAATTTTCTTCTTCTTCTTCTAATACCCTCTAACCACCCCTAGACGGGGTAGGAGGGGGGGGGAGGAGCGGTACACGGTTATGGCAGGGCGGTTTCTACCCTGGCCTTAAAGGCCTCTACTGTCGGTGCCCTCACCACCGTGCGAGGAAAAAAAGAAAACCTAAAGCAGTCTTTATGTGCTGTAGATAACTGGAATTTATAATCATATAACCATATAATCATATACATGTATATTCATTAACCATTTTACCATTGACTGCTCTCATTGTGATGAGATTGTAGTCATTCCTGTGTGTGCCAGCCTTGTAGATGTGTACTGAATGTATAACATTGCATTCCTGTTCCTCTCAGGTTTCATGTTGACAAGATGTCCTCCGCTCACGTCTACCTCAGGCTGCCGAAGGTGAGGTCAAATGTGGTTTCTTAGCAAGTGAATTGAAAGTGAAAGCACGGAGGTGAAAGTGATCTCAAACTACATTGTAGTAGTTTATCTCAATGACATCAATGAACAGTTGAGCTAGCCTGGTCACCAAACCTATTATATCTCCCGAGGATTCGGGAGTGAGTTATAATAGGTTTGGTAACCAGGCTACAATTGAGCTACTCTTCCACTGGTCGTGCCAGAGAAGACAGATGCTATGTACAGTGCAATGTATTTACAGGTTCATTTTTGACAAGTGCATTGAATGAGGTTATTTTTATTTCTTGTGTTGGCAGGGTGAGACAATAGAGTCCATACCAGCTGCAGTTTTAACAGACTGCGCTCAGCTGGTGAAGGCTAATAGCATTCAAGGTAGGTTAGGAAGATGTTTATGTATAATATGTGGCCAGCAGAGTAAGTCAATCAGACCCTGAGCATGATGTCCCTCGCGGGACCTTGGCTCAGTATTTATATAAGATGAGACAATTGCAAGTTCATCAGCAACACCAGTGCATCTGGTCTGTTTGCCAAGTGCCAGCTGCAGTAAAAACCTGTGTTGATGTTAGTAGTAACAGTATCATACATTTTAACAGTAATCATGATTATTTAAGCTCCTTGGCTGATGTCACATTGTGCTAGCATTAAATTTCTATGTCAAAGGATTAGGATGTCATGATAAAGTTACATTTCTAGCAAATGACAAATACTTGTATCTGTCTACTGTTAGGTAATAAGGCAAACAACATCAGTGTGGTGTACACACCTTTCTGTAACCTGAAGAAGACGGCCAACATGGATGTGGGACAGGTTGGATTCCACAAGCAGAGAGAGGTGAGGGACACTGTTATGGTTTTCTTTTGTTTTTCATTGACTTAGGCCAAAAAAATAGCCTCCCCTTGTGGGCTTGTGCATCAACTTTCACGGCCTGCTTAGATCACATCTTCTAGTATGCACTTATCATAAGACACTTATCATTTCCTGACACATGGTGGAAGGTTAACCAGTTGAAAGTTTGTGACCTTGGACTTGTTGTAACCATATACGGCCTCCTCCGTTTCAGGTCAAGGTGATTGCAGTAGAGAAGAGACTAAACGAGATCGTCAATCGACTGAACAAGACGAAGCAGGAGAGCCAGCCAGACTTGAGAGCGGAGCGGGAGGAGCGCGATGCGGAAGAGCGACAGGACGCCAAGAAGAAGATGAAGGAACAGAGGGACCAAGAGAAGGAGGAGGAGAGGAGAAGAAAAGAAGAGGAGGAAAAAAGGTGCTGTTTGCTCAAGAACAGATAACACTACTAATCCACTAAGCTTGTTCATTATTTGACCTGTACAAAGCTGAAACTTTCAGAGGTGAAGATCTCTGACATGTGAACAGAGATGACATCTTTTCCAACAAAACATTTGAAAACTATAGACAGGATGTTATCTTAAAATATGTGAGCACAACCTCAAACGAGATGTTCTGTCAAAGTGCTTAAATCATGACTCCTTAACCATCCCATGAGTTCTACCTATCCTAACCTGTCTCTCCTGTCTGTAGGAGCTACTCAAACTTGATGAGGGAGGAAAACATGACATCAAACCAGGTAAGAAACAGACACACTAAACAGTTGCCACTTACAGGGGTATTAATTGACATAACCTTCTTCAAGCTAATGACAATTCAAAATCTTTATTGTATTTGCCATATAGATAATATAACATTTTGCTGCAGTACTTCCCAGAAGTGTAAAATCTCTGATTTCTTGTTGCAGAATGTTATGGATGATGAAGACGACTTCATTTAAAAAAGATATGTCCTTCAGTCTTGACAAGATGACCCAGAGTGCTCCTTCTGCGGTGTGACACCAAAGTAGCTAAATACACACCAGACGTCTGCTGCCCAGAGAGCTGCTGCAGTACCAGACTTGGTCACAAGGAGTGCAACAGGTGGTTGAACAATGGACTGTGAGCATGAAAGACTATGCTTGACAACATGGGAGTTGCTACGAATGTATTTGCAGCTTGGCCAACACGGCATATCATCCTGGTACCACTCCACTGGTATTTACTCACTTTACAAGGGAATGGGCAAGTTTCATGAACTGTTTTTACTTTGGCAGGTTTGGCTCAAAGGTTGGACATATCCTATATGAAGTTGCTATAATAGTAGATGCTCAGTCTATCTCAGATTAAAGCAAAATGACAATGTTGGATTTTGGCGAAATAAACCAAGATTATTAAGATTTAGCCTTGCCCAGATAAAAAATCATTTGGAGAAAACAACAGGAAGCTTTTGCTTGCTTACCCCCATGTTGGCAACACAACAACCAAAGGACAGTGACTTTGTTAGGTATACAACAGCTATACATACAAACAAACCAGTGGATACAAATGAACTTGCAAGTATAAAGATGTCGGGAGATATTATTAAGTTATTAACATTAGCTATTTAAAGAATAGGCTAAGTTTAGTGTATGTAAAATCAGTCGAAAACATACATTTGTTTTAAAGCAATTCTTGAATATGCATTTGTCCTTTCTTAGTATGTTACGTTGTTGAGAGGATAGCTTAGCTGAAATTCTCTTTTGTCAAAGTAATAAAGTATTTCATATTGGTATGTAGAGGTATACACAAATGATAATTACGTTGTATATGCATCCGGGAAAATGGTGTATCATAACTTTTGGGGTCCATCTTATAAGGCTAAATCCAGTGATGGCAAATTCACATTGTCTTTAAAGTAATTTGAAGTGGTAATTTCTGACTGATACTGTACACATGACATACAAAGAACAGGACACAGGAGTTTGCTGATTTTAGTTTATTTCACAATCACATCTTTGTAGACACCAACTTCATGACAGAATGTCACTAGAGGTCAAGTCAGTTTAGCTTTGCAAACTCAATAGACAGTTGAGCTAATCCTCCACTGGTCATGAAAAGAGAAGACAGACGATATGTACAGTTTATACTGGTTCATTGTGCCAGGGAATTACCCTAGCTCTTTTCGACAAGTACATTACGTCCTGAGGACTGCGACCCTTTCCAGTAGGGTAAGCTACAATAGCCAGGACTCGACTCGTGACTTCTTCGTCCACAGTCAGGGTCAAGAACCACTGCACTATGCACACTAGATTCAGATTCTTAAAATATTTTGATGGAGGATATCCATCAACATGTACAAACCTGTGCATAAAAATAAAACGACCATGAAAATGTGACTGGCCTGGCCAAGAGGTAGAAACACACTATTGTACAAAAATAGATTTCCACAATACATTAGACACACAACACACACAACAACAAAGACAACAGTGACTTCTAGTATTGCCCCTTAATTGAAATCCTTGATATTATGTTTTGATGTACACTTGTTCAATTATAGTGGGGTATTTACAATCTCTTTCCCCACAAGGAACATATGTAAATTTGTACTATATTGCCATTGGGAAAAAGATTTTAATTCTATCTTAAAATCAATCAATCAATCAACTAAAGACAAACAATCGTCACTACCGATAGCATTACGGTTCACCAGTAACATTTGCATTCAGTAAACATAAAAGTTTTTTAGTTTTAGGGCTGCAGTTCCTGTGTTTTCTGCAAGGGTGAGCCCTTGTCCTTTCGTGCCTAGCCCTTCAGTCAGCAGTCAGGTGTCCCCGGCGGCTTGGGATAAAGCTCGCTGTCCGCCGGAGCCGCAGGAAGGGAGGATGCCACTGGCAGCAACTGAAGTACGCTGGCTTTCGGTTCCTTTTCGCTCTTCAGGTCCTCCGTGGACTGGTAGGCGGGGTTGGCAACCGCGCCCGACTCTTCTCGACTCAGCGTGCTCGGCTCCCGAACGAAAGTCGGCGCGCGGACCGGCGGCAGAGGCACCCGAACGGGCTGAGACGACGTCGTCCCTCCTGCTGCAGCTTGTGTTGACCACGTTGGAGGAGGAGCGTTAGGATTGGCGGCAGCTTGTCCCTTCTGCAGAGGGCCCCACGCCCGGGTAGACACGCGTTCCTTCTTCACGGGATCCATCCGCAGGTCCTCAGAGGAAATGCCCACTTTCTTCCTTTTTGATTTCCTAGCGAGAGGGTACATCGTAAAACATACATGTTAGTTTAGATGACTTGTGCACTTGTAGGCCTGATCTAAGTTACAACCATACCTCTAGGACTCAGAACCAGAATTCTTTGCACATCTACATCAGGGCATTCCAACCATGATCCCTGAACGAAGACGGGGGACACCACAGACTATATGGAACCTATAATCCACTAATCATCTGCCTAGCTTAATACGTCACAGAAGCGATGGTCTACTCATTTCTTGACAGAGTTGTACAGTCGAAATTTCGGGTAAGTCCAATTTCTTATGTTGAAAATCATACTTTAAACTTGCTTCGTATATGTATGCATTACGTAGTCGTAATTTTAATTATAATAACCTGTAACATACTTGGACATAGCAGTGCGTGTTCATACTTACTTGTACACGTGCACCCCGACGGCGACAACGACTGCCAGCAGCACTAGAGGAACGACCACGGCCACCACAATCACAGCAACGTTCATTCCCGAAGCAGCCACAGGTTCCTCCTCCACTGGAACCAGTAACGCTATGCCTGAGATGTCCCCTCCCAGCACCGCCTCCAGGGCAGACACGTTGGACTGGAGGATGGTCAGAAGCTCGCTCCCAGGGATAGAAGTGTTGCCGGAGGGCAGCAGGACGTAGTACGCAAGCGCGGTGGTGCTGTCGTTGTTCGCTGACGGGTAGCCTGAAGGTCGCTGGACTTGGAGGACGGTGAAGGTCACGGACGTGCTCCTCCGTCTGTTGGAGACAAGAGGGAGACGGTGAAAGGTTATTATTGACACAACAAAAGTACAGCGACTTCGGTAAGGTCCTCTACCACTATACCTACAAGCAAACAAGTGGATACAAATTATCATCTCTGTCAGCCAATCCCAAAAGACTCGATTATGACTTAATTGCGCAAAACAGGATTGTAAGGTTTCCTTCATATATGAACTTACATGCATTCAAAAAACGTTAGATGGATAAACCAACATGTTAAGTTTGACGTATCGTTCACAGTTTCTAAGGTCTACACATGCTTTGACGTATTTGATTACTAGCATTTGTACATAGTTGTGGTTATCCGCTAGAACGCAGATATGTACGTTAAGAGCCACAAAGGACTCAGACGTGGCCTTGTTAAAGTCACTGACCTCCGTGCGCCATCCGAAGTCACCACCCCGCACTCGGCAGCATTGACGGCGCAGTGCTCCGTTACCATGGCAGCGAGCTGAACCGAGAAGGCGTCATCCACGGAGACAGTGTACTAAGGAGAGGGGGGAAGAACAGTGTTTCGGCTTTCTCACGAGAAACTTCTGCATTTGGCTTCTGTATATGGGTTCCAGAATTCTACACATAGGTTGCAGAATTCTGCACATCGGTTTCAAATGAATACTGTATTGTAGATTGCTAAGTTTGCTTCTTAAAAAAAAACTGCCACCAACATTACAACAATGGTGTTATGAATCACTTGGTCAGATGGTTTGACCACGCACGATAAAATTTTCAGACATAAAAACAAGCTCATGTAAAAAAAAATCAACACTGGCACCAATCGGCCAGGTAACGTTTCTCACCTGTTCCAGTGTAATCCCGCAGTTAAAGGTGACAGCGTTGGAGAGGTCCTGGTCAGAGGCGGGTCGTGTGGGGGCAGACACTGGCTTCTCGTCGTCAGGAAGGTCTGAAAAAAGTTCGAACAAAAATGGTCATGAACAAGTTCTTGTTTCAGGGCTCGGTGGGTAAAGTAAAGATGAAGATAAGTGGTACAGCTTGAAGGAAACAGTTTACTCTTAAAACATAGGCTGTGCCAATTTTTTGTATCTACAGCTGTAACAACTTAAAATGTAGCCTCTACCAGGCTTCGGGGGGCAGCTGGAAAGAAGAAACTGGCCCCGGGTGCCGGCAAGCTGTACTCTCTAGCGGACGAACTCCCCTGACACGTTTTGTCTCTAGTTGGCCAATTTTTGCTCTTCTCAATTTCTACTCTGTCCAACCGTCCTCCCGAAGCCTGGTACAGGCTACTAGTAGCATCTACGATCAGTCTTTCGTCACTTTACGGGGCTTAGCCTAAGATAAATCTGCGTAGTTGGTTACTCACCGACGCATTTGCCACCCGTCAAGACCAGTCCGGCAGCACACTCGCAGCTGTAGTTCCCTGGCTTGTTCTTACACACCGTGTTCCCGGTGCAGTTGTACGTCCCGGCATTGCACTCGTCAATGTCTGTGTAGGATAGTTGAAACTGTTAGATTCACTTTCATTCATTCTTCAACATATCTAGGCATTAGGAATCCTGTCTATAGTAACCACTTGATTTTATCGGACTGAATGGTCTTCTTATGCTGAGGTCACATTTCCAAACTGGGCCCGGCCCGGTAGCTCTTGGGAATGAAAAATACTACATTAAAGACAACAAAACACAAGAAAAGTTGTAAAGATAATCATGAGTACTACCTGTGTATATTCCTGATAAGAACTGTTGATTTTTCGTTCATGCAAACAGCCAGGTCGGGGCCCGGTTTGGAAATGTGACTTTAGCATAAGACATACAATTATTTCAGATTACAGTATACAATACTTCCTTACCTTGACAGGTATGCTCGTCCACCAGTTGGTATCCTGTCTCACAAGTACAGTTGTAGCTCCCGTCGGTGTTCACACAGTTTTGGTTGCAGTTGTTCTCCCCCGTCTGACACTCGTTCTTATCTGCAAAATGTGAATTTGAAATCTACCCTCTTTTCTCAGTCATTCATTCCTTTCTCGCGTATTTATAATAAATTGATCTACTGATTGATATAGTTCAAGAAGTCCTGTCAAAGAAGATGATTATAAAAAAAACGAAAGCACAGTGGTCATTAAATCGAACAAAAGCAATAATGCAACAAATTGACTCACAAATATTTTCTATCGGTAGATAAGTGATCAAATAAGCGAGTGAGCAAACAAATCAATGGTACGAGTACTTCATACAAACTGTAACAGCTACATTTTCGGATCAAACCCAGTGACGGTGTACGAGTAGTTTCCCTGCACACTCACCGTTGCAGCTCACCATGTCGTCAGCAAGGACATACCCGGCCTTGCAGGCGCACTCCCTGGGACGCATGCCGCCTCTGTTGTCCAGACACCAGCCCCTGACGAGGTCACATCCCCCCGTGTCTCCCACAGGACATGGGTGGGTGGCTGCAGGGGGGGGGGATGAAAAGTGGTTTATTAGACATGCAAAGTTTCCCTACTTTAATGTCCTATCTAGGCATGTCTTGGTCATCGCCGAGAACGATGGACGAACAAGAAGAATATCTAGGCACAACATTTTGATACCTTCCAAGTCATTACCAGTTCAATCCAACTCTAGCTGTCACAATTAAAGTGAAATCTTTCCACCCACTGTAACTGTCATTTCATCATTGATTATCATAGCCTCTTTAGCAAGTTCTATTGGTCGGAATTTTTACTAAATTGTAGGGTCATACGTGCTGTTTTATCGTATATCAGGACTAATTACTAGTATACAGGGTTTCTTGTAAGCCGGCTATAATAGAGTATGTCTTAATGCCATATTGAGATGCTACGACTCACGTGTGCAGGACTTGCGGTCACCATCCAGTTGGAACCCGGAGTTGCAGGCACAGCTGTACGAGCCCGCGTTGTTGTTGCACACCTGGTCACAGTCGTTAGCTGGGGTGCACTCGTCAACGTCTGTTGTGAATAAACGCGTGGCATTGATACATTAAGTTTAAATGAGTATAGGATTGCCTCCAATGATGCTTCATTAATATGTATCATACCATTGGTTACCATTGGCAGTTATTACATAACTTGTGCATGTCGCAGTGGATCAGGTCATGTAGCAAACACAACCAAGTCCAAACAAGAAATCGAAAATTTCAGACATCTTTCTTCTTTTTTATTCACTATTGTGAACTTCTTTTTGATTCTGTACACATTTCACGGTCACCTCCCAGCCTATAGCTATTGGGAGACCTTTTTGAACCCCAAATCTTACTGTCAGTCTGTGGTTACACCATTCCCCCCACACTTCCTGTGACTATTGAATTCAAATAACTGGGAGACGCACAGGCAAGCACGCACGCCGAAATCTCACCATTGCAGGAGCTTCCGTCCTCTCCCAGCTCATACCCGGCGTCACACGAGCACTGGTAGGAGCCGGGGAAGTTCACGCACAGCTGCGCACAGGATGCTCCCGATGCGCACTCGTCCACGTCTGGAACAGGAACGGGAATGTCATCAGCCAAAATTTACACGAAAACTAACCAATGAGGAAAGAGCTACCTGACCTCAAACATGGTATTACACCATGGAATGTGGTCCATTCCATGATTACACAGTACACGTTCCTAGTGACATCATTCTGCATCCTGCTACCAAGAGCAGCAGCCCTGTCAATCAACTGAAGTCCAATCTCCGCCCGCTCACTTTCAACCAATCCTCGCCGCTCAGGACGAAATACAAACAGACTCCTCCTAAAGCAGCAGCACCGCTCAAAACCACACTTCCGTCACAGAAGTACTGACCCACGTGGTTTCGTTTGAAAAAAAAAAGTAGTTTTAGTTTCCCTGCCTGGTTTCGTTTGAAGAAAATTCAGTTTCCCTACCTGGTTTCGTTTTAAAAGAATTTCAGTCCCCCTACCTGTACATCTCTCCCCGCTGCCCGTGTACCCGCTGGGACAGGAGTCGCACTCGTAGCCGCTGATGTTGGCCGGGGCGGGAAGGTCGTTACACCGGACTCCCGCGTAACACGGCTCGTAGTTAGCTGCGCATGCGTCAATGTCAGACTCGCAGTTCGATCCGGTGTAGCCGGCCGCGCATGTGCACTCTTGCATCACAAACCTGCATTGAAATTAGAATACAAAATCAGAATTTTGGTATGAAGTTCAACATTTTTTTAGTTTGTGCGTGATGACGTTTAGAAGAAATCAAGCTATAGCTAGTTTCATCGATCATTTTATGTTCGATTTTTTAGCACTACACAAGTATTATATAAGATACGAGTTATTTGTTTTTCCCTTTTTACGAATATCAATTGACTTTACATAAAACTTGTCTTTTTACCCTGGTAACAATTCTCCAGGGAATTTTACCGGCCCCATTTTTTCTAACAGCCTATCTTTCCAACTGGCCCTTTTGATTACTGACATCCTTCGATAGCAAACTCTGCCAGCACCGTAGGGATACTGGGAGCTCCCGATAACATGATAAACGCATGCTAGACCTTACCTGGTGTTATTGGAGGAACTGTGCGTCCCTCCGCTGGAGGCACAGCCGCCGCCGTTCTCACAGTTGCAGAGGTACACCGTCGGCCAGTAGAGGGCGCTCGCGCCGCCCGCGTCCGTCACCAGAACCCGCAGGTCGAACGGCTCCGCCCGGTCCACCTGCCAGCTGAAGGAGGCCTTTGGTAGAGACAAACGGATATGTTTACATGGTGATCTAGGAATTCTCAAAAAGTTTAACATTCGGAGCTGCTTATAAGGAGGGAGAATGACGTAACCGCAGACTGACGGGAAGGTCTAAATTGGAGGTCTCCCCGCAGGGTGGGAGGAAGCAGTGGTGCAGTGGAGGAACTCAAGGATATATGCACAGAATCACACACATTCACAATAATGAATAAAACAAGAAAATTCGAGATAAGCTACTTTTACTCGTGTTGGGCAAAAGTATCAAACTGCATAAGTGAACAAAACTAGAAATAACATTCTATACTCAAAATATAAATGTTATTCGATGTGTGAAATATCAGTTTTCAATGGTTTTCTTATAACTTACCGTATTTCCACTGGCAGTCAGAACGGACGCCGGCAGGTCGGACGGTTCTGATACGGAGAAGCTGACGGAGTCTCCGTTCCTGTCCTGGGCCGTCAGGGAGAACTCTAACGTCTGCTGGTACACGGCGTACAGCACGGTAGGGCCCGTCACGCTGGGAGGGTAGTTACCTACGGGGGGATGGATTAAAGAATGGATGGATGAAAGAATGAATGAATGAATGAATGAATGAATGAATTTTATTGCTCGATGATCGATTATCACAAATGGTACCATGTATGGCAACAACCAAGGAACAGCAATACTGCGAGAACAATTATGTATCATACATTTAGAACTACAAAGCATTATCGATAACAGTACACGAGTTACGCTATGGATGATTTGGTCTAGCTTTTTAATGGAGTACAAACAAGTTGATATTGACGAACAATAATGGCAATTTGGTTGCAATTTGTGGTTAATTCATACCAAATCTTTTTGAAGATGCTACTAACAATCACATAGCAGGAAGATTGCTCTAGGACAGCTTCTTTATGCTGAGGTCACAATTCCAAAACCGGGGCCCGGCCGGGCTGTTTCGATTACCGAAAAATCAACAATTTATATCATTAATATACACAAATAGTTCTCATTATTAATTTTTTCAACTTTTTTTGTGCTTTGTTGTCTTTTATATCGTACTTTTCGTTCCATAAGACTGCCCGGCCGGGCCCCGGTTTGGAACTGTGACCTCAGCATTACATAAATGCAAGAACTATGAGAAGAACTTACTTGTCTTCTGCGAGCCGTCCTGGATGGTACTGGACTGGTGCAGAGAGGCCTCCCCGACTGCCACGTCTCCCGTCTGCAGGACGTCGTACAGACACGCCTGGTTCTCCCCGCACTTGTCCCGCGCCTGCTGCAGCAGCGCCGGGTCGGCGGAGGAGTCCATCTCGTCTCCGAAGGTGGGCTCAAAGGTGTCGTCCTGGAACGTGTCTACCCCCTGGCCGCCCTCGTAGTGGAACAGGGAGACCTTGTCACCGGCAGTGGCCGTCACTTGCCCTGTGTCGTGCATAACGTGATACGAGTACTAAGGTGGATGACTTTATTTGAATATCCACAGCTTGAAACCTCAGCTATTCGTCCTATGGTCCTCACATTAACACACGTAAGTAAATTTTCTTCCTCTGGATGCCATAAGGAGCATAAGGGACTGTCTGTATAAACCTTTAATAGTCTACTGCATTTGCGGGCAAGCAAAAATATGTCTTGAAAACGCTTCAAGCTCGTAATGTAATCTCCGCAAGGGTTAGGGTTAAAATTGTCGTAGTGTCGAAACATGGGATAAACGGTCAAAAATAATACACTTAGTAAACGCCAGAACTTACAAGAACGTCCGAAGTCGAAAATCTGTCTCTCGGTGGAGTTAGTTGACAGAACCGTCCCGTCATACATCGTGAAGTCGTTGGTTTGATCTCCGTCCCAGACTCCCAGCAGGCCTTTCGTCTTCCCCTTGAAGGACTCGGGAGCCGAGAAGACGATCGACATCATGCCCTGTAGGTCAGAGTTTAAAGCAACGCGTTTAATTTTAGTAAGAAGACTTGATCTATCAACAGTCACTCTTAGGTACAAGAAAACAGTTACTCAAGCAACTGCACAGATTTTGAAAATTAAACTGTCAGATGTTTCAAGTTTTCAGTTTTCTTGTGTACCTTATTACCTGGATGTCTAACCTTTATAGGCGAGTCACTCTGATGTTTATGTTGTACATGCGATCTTAATCATAAAATCAAGGACCTTAAAAATTGGATCGTTCTAAAGCTTATTATTAAAACCTGAACGTACCTGTTCTACTTGTGCAGTCGCTGACACCCCTGTGCTGTAGTAGACTTTGAATTCGCTAGCGCTTGGCCTTGAAACCAACACGTTGTCCTCTTGGATAATGGTTGAGCTGACGTTTCCGTATACGGTCATGTCTTGCAGTGTACCATCGATATACAGCTTCATGCCTGATGCCGAATTGGAATCTATGTTCACTTGAATCGGGACGCCTCCACTCTTTCGAATGACCATGGCAGAAAAGGCTGTCGCTGTAGTGGTGCCTGGGGGAAATTCAATGAGAACAATGAATGGGTATTGAGAAGCGAAAAGGAATTGAAATTTGTGTTGATGAATGTCGGCAACCGTGATATTTGTGCAGTCAACATGTCAGTGACTATGTAGTTTGAACGTGCTAGCCTCTACCTGGCATGGGAAGAGGCTATAGTGAAAGTAGAAATTGGCCAAATTCACAGATAACATGTTAGGGAAGTTGGTCCTGAACGACAATTTGTACTCCTTTAACTGATCAAGCCCCCTGGCATGTTATCTGTCTATTCGACCAATTTCTGTTCTTTCCAGTCGCTTCTAAAGCACTGTGGAGTTTATGAACTTGCAGTCTTTGCCTAATATAAACCGATGTGAAACTTATATTTACCTTCTGGAAACTCGGTCCTGGCTTGCAGTTGATACTGTCCGTTGTCCACATCTGCCATGATGTACTCGCCTTTACCGTTAAAGGTGTACCCCTTCCCGTCCAGCGTGGCGATGTGAGGGTCACCCCATGTCCAGCCTGTGGTAGGATAGGAATAAACGATACCATTAGACATTTCTATGTACGGTAGGTGATTGGTATCATTACCTCCGTGGGAGGAGACATCCTTCCGCGGAAGGGTTTTGTGAGAGATTCAGATTTTCATGTTCGCAGCTTTTTCTCGCGTTTGGGTGGACGGAATCTTTTGAGACTCGGTATATGTTTTGCTATTGGGCTGCAGATGATGCACGTTCTTTTGTTTTTATTGTATATGTGTTTTCGGGCGTGAAAATGGTGTCTTTTGGTGCCCCAAAACACCCCTTTGAGCGTGAAAGTGGTCGCGACCGTTGACCTTTGGCGTTTTAAGCTTTTCGCGGTCTGGTCCACTTATATGACCCCTCACACAGAGGGGTGTCCGGTCTCGATAAATTCTTTGTTTAAAACCCTATATAAAAATATACAATAAAAAGCCCGGAGGTATAAAATCTCAGATTTGTTGAACATGTTTAGTCGTCAAATCTTTGTTTATATTTTTCAGATGTAAACTTTCTTTACTTCTTGGATACAGAAAAAAAACCTTGTTGGCTGTGGTGTCATGCTTTATGTCTTCAATTCTTAAAACGGTTAGATGATGAAAATTCATGCAGCTTGGACGTTTTGCCAATCTTATATTTTTCGTGCTCTTGTGTTAGATTTGTAGTCTGCGGGAAATTGCATCCATAAAATTTACGTACTTTTGCCTTAGAGAAATGCTAGAAGATCAGCACAATGGTTATTCTACACGACAAACATTTAAGGCGAGTCTGCATTGAAAAAGACCTACTCCATATGGGCGGGACGTATCTTGAGCAGTTGGCTGACGGACGCTTCTCGTAGAACAGGTCACAGGTCCCTACGCTTTCCACGCAGCAGTTCGTGTATGCCCGGTCGTCTTCTTCCTCGTCCTGCAAGAAGACGCATGCAAATAAAGAAAGTTTAATACTACTGATGCAGTGTTTACCGTTAACGTTTGTTCCTATGGAAGTCGTAAATAAATAAACGAATACCCCAACCCCGTACCCTAACTCTTATCCCGTACCTTAACCCGTACTCCGTACCCTGACCTCATACCTAACCCGTTCCCCAACCCTGTACCTTAACCCTAAACCCGCACCCCGTACCCCAACCCATACCCTACCCCGTACCCAAACGCCATACCCTAACCCCAATCCCGTTCACCGTACCTTAACTCTAACCCATACCCCAACCCCGTACCCAAATCCCAATCCCACACACCGTACACTAGCCCATACCGTAACCCTAACCTGAATAACATGTCCTCCATCTGGACTCCCAGTCACCAGTGCGCCGTCTTCATAGCAGCACTTCTGCACCAGCCCGTCCGCTGTGGGGAAGGCGCTGTAACCGCAGATACCATATCCCCAGCTGCTCCAGTCTATCCGGAAACTACAGAGACAAGAGGCAGACTTTTCAACAACAAAGTTGTGGTAAGAAAAGCAAAAGCGAAACTAGCTTAGATAAACTCAGTGAACAGTGCAGCTACTCTGAAATGGTCTTGGAAGAGAAGACAGTTTGTGCGGATTCATTGCACCCTGCAAAATTATAACTGCATGCAGCTGCGAGCGTTGGTTAAAGCTATCTAGTGAAAATGACCTTTCTGTACTTGGTAGCACGAGTTCCAGTCCTTGTCCCATTACATTATAAGTAGACCTTTCGGTGGCAAAGTCGTAACCAACCGGCAAGACACTATCAAATTGGCCGGACACAGTACCCAGTTGGTCATCTACGGCAGGTGCCTTGACCCGGATTCCAGTCTTGTTGGCCAACAGGTGAAGAAGCGGATTCTGGGGAGTGAAGCCATGCTTCAGGCTAAAAGTTGGTTACGACCGCGAGACCACAAGATTGCATGGAGATAACACTTACGCTCCATCGAACCACATCTGCCATTCGGTGCAGGGGCAGTCCGGCAGCTGATCCAGGGCGTTTCGTACGCTCGCGTCCGCGGGGTCCGGCTGGTCCCGGTACCAGGCCAGGCACTCCAGCCGGGCGTCCATCGTGCCGTCCGAGTCCTCCATCCTCACCATCCACTGACCGGTATAGCCTAAATTCATTGACGTTGGATAAATTGGTCAACAACCATTCACACATACATTTAATCTTCCGATCCTCATTGACCAGTAAGTCCTACATGTACATTACTGGGGCGTTAGGTAAATTTGTTGCAAAGTTTTTCCCAAAGGCTGATCGCAAGAAATATATAAAAAACGGACAAACAACGGAAAACAATATAACACGTGAGTAATTTAAATGCCTCAAATGGAACATTGTTAGGGCCTACAGTGTCAAAAAAGCTGGCTTGATTAGTAGAATATCATCGCATCCGAGTAATCGCCACATGAATGTCGGTCCTCTCAATGATATGATTAAATCTTAATTTGCTTCAGGCTTACAATATTGCCTATGGTCAAACAGTCTTATTCGGGAATCAGCAATCAACCACCCTTTCAGCACCAAGGACATGACCCATATTATGAACAGAGCGAAGATTTACCTGTATTGCCCTCGACCTCATCCAACAAATACATCCTCTGGGTTCCAGAGTACGTGGGAAGGTTGAGGACGTTCTGTCCACCGTCCCCGGCACTGAAGCCTGCTACCGGCCACGGGAGGTCCTCAACATCCGTGAAGTACTGGTAGTACTCCTCGCTAAAACCTGAACAACGGCATGGCACGGTCAAATACTTTTTAAGCTTTCGCTAAGTGGACTATAGTTAAAAAGACTTGATTCCAGACTACTACTCTCTATAATTTGATGATTGTTGAGAATAGTTTCCAACTTGTCATGCTGTATCTTTTTTTACTTCTATGAACGACTTTTCAAGTTTATATCAAGACAAAACAACAAGGACAATTAGAGGTTAGCAAATGGCAGCTGCAATTATTGAAACCAATATGACGTGATGTACTGTGAGGCTGCTTTTAGTCAGATATATGCTTTATTTTCATATAAATAGTCATGTAGGTCAATATCATTAAACGTATGGTCGAATGTTGAAGAAAAATCCGGAATGTACCTGGATAAACCCAGTTGAGTCCTCCACTCGGGTAGATGGCCTTGCCGAAGGAATGTGTGGCGTTTGTCATGAGCACAGTCTGGAACGTGTTCGTCTGTAGCAGATGCGAAAACAACAAGAAAATGTTCATGTACGGTATGCGGTAATGCTGAATGCACTTAGGATGCCGCAAAGGACAAGCGATGGAACTTCTAGGCGCTGTGTAGAATTTGACGAGGAAACATTTTTCCCTTTCAACGATCATCGAATCGTGATTGCTAATAGTAAGAAAATACCAGCTGGAAAGCTACCAGCGATTTTTTAAGGTTTGTACCTGCACGCCAGTGAGATCACATTCCTCGCAGCCCCAGCCTCTATAACAGCTGCAGCCGATGTAGGGGGGCAGACGGACCCATGTCACCACCAGCGCCCATGTAGGCCTGAAATCTGTCGGAAAAAATCACAGGACATTGAATAAACAATGAATTACATTTCAAAACGTGCAGAAACAGCGATTGTACATTTGAATTCCCTATCTTATAAGCTACATTTATATCCCTGCAGTTGCACTACAGTCATGGTCATTTTAATCTGATGTTGAATAATTCATAACTTTATCGTAATCTGATGTTGAATAACTTCAGAAGGGTCTTAACAATGTACATTGTGGGCCATCTTGTATGTTTCTTCAGTATGAATTTAGGCATCATGTACTTTGTATGTCATGTAGGGCAACCTACCTGGAAGGGATGAATCGTAGTCATTCGCATCTTCACCGGCGCGGCTCAAGATCTCCTCAGTCCTCGCCTGCCCGTCGTTCTCTGCATACGAGTGGAAGTAGATGTGCGAGTGCTCGGTCACGTCTGTCCGGTCCTGTGAGAGGCTGGACGCGTCCGACATGGCCCAGAACGGCGCCATCATGGCGATGTTGTTGTACGCGCGGCGGGTGCCGAACAGATACGGGAGCCACGGGGCCCACGCCGTCTCGAACGAGATCACGCCGTTGTCGCAAATCTGATGAGGCACAATTAAGAGTTAATGACCCGTAACGAGGTGTATATGGTGCCATGAGGCCTGGCCATTTCCCACAACCACCGATTGAACCGCCAAGTGAGCGCGGCGAAATGGTGAGATTATTCACCACTGGTAAGTATACGGCATCACAACCAATATAAAATGGGACTTTTGATTGATCGACGTCCCCTGGCTAAATGACAATAGGCAATAACCAAGTTTTAAGATGGCCATTGTGATATAGATTATGATGATGACGACGATGTACTGTGTTCTGCATCTCAGAGTTGTTGAAACAGCCTCTGGCTGCAATAATTGTTTATTCATTTCGTAATTTCGTTCCGCATTTTTTGAAGCCTTAGTGTCTAAACAAGTCAAGTCAGCTAAAGTCAGATTAAGTCTACCTTTTGATAAAGACTAAGATGTGAACAATGACAACACGCTCAATATATCAGAAGTACTCACGTTAAGTTCGTAGTGCCTTTTTCCAAAGAACGGAAACCCTTCGTCGTTGATGGGATACTCCAAACACTCTCCCCAGTAGTGGCCATCTCCACTGTTCAGGAGATTCTCATACTCCAGATCTCCAGCATCCAGACCGAACGGGTACAGAGTGGGGTCTTCAAGCGGGTTTGGCCTGGTTGTAGTAGCTGGCCTGGGCCCCTCCGTTGGAGTATCTGTTAGGAACAAAAGGAAGAAAGACAATTGTTAGGGATGTCATACACAGATCGCTATCAACTATGTTGGTATTGTCATAGACTTATTAATCTATTCAGATTATGGTATAATACGGCAATCTAGCCATAGAAAATGTACCCACCATTTCCGTCGTCCCCACTCGCTTCATCGTCCCCAGAGCCACCCGATCCGTCGTCCCCAGAGCCACCCGGTCCGTCGTCCCCAGAGCCACCCGATCCGTCGTCCCCGGAGCCACCCGATCCGTCGTCCCCAGAACCATCCGGTCCGTCGTCCCCAGAGCCACCCGATCCGTCGTCCCCAGAGCCACCCGATCCGTCGTCCCCAGAGCCACCCGATCCGTCGTCCCCAGAACCATCCGGCCCGTCGTCCCCAGAGCCACCCGATCCGTCGTCCCCAGAACCATCCGGTCCGTTGTCCCCAGAGCCACCCGATCCGTCGTCCCCAGAGCCACCCGATCCGTCGTCCCCAGAACCATCCGGTCCGTCGTCCCCAGAACCATCCGGTCCGTCGTCCCCAGAACCACTCGATCCGTCGTCCCCAGAACCACCCGGTCCGTCGTCCCCAGAGCCACCTGGTCCGTCGTCCCCAGAACCATCCGGCCCCTCCTCTCCGGAGCCATCCGGATTATCATCTCCAGACCCACTCGGTTCATAGTCTCCGGAGCCGGTTGGTCCCTCCTCCCCGGAGCCATCCGGTCCCTCCTCCCCGGAGCCATCCGGAATATCGTCTCCAGACCCACTCGGTCCATAGTCTCCGGAGCCATCCGGAATATCGTCTCCAGACCCACTTGGCCCATAGTCTCCGGAGCCACTTGGTCCATCCGGTCCGTCGTCCCCAGAGCCATCGTCTCCGGAGCCATCCGGAATGTCATCTCCCGACCCACTCGGCCCATAGTCCCCGGAGCCGGTTGGTCCCTCCTCCCCGGAGCCATCCGGAATATCGTCTCCAGACCCAGTCGGTCCATCGTCTCCGGAGCCATCCGGAATATCATCTCCAGACCTACTCGGCCCATAGTCTCCGGAGCCGGTTGGTCCCTCCTCCCCGGAGCCATACGGCCCCTCTTCCCCGGAGCCATCCGGAATATCGTCTCCAGACCCACTCGGTCCATCGTCTCCGGAGCCATCCGGAATGTCATCTCCCGACCCACTCGGCCCATAGTCTCCGGAGCCGGTTGGCCCCTCCTCCCCGGAGCCATCTGGAATATCGTCTCCAGACCCAGTCGGTCCATTGTCCCCGGAGCCATCCGGAATGTCATCTCCCGACCCACTCGGTCCATAGTCTCCGGAGCCGCTTGGTTCATAGTCTCCAGAGCCACTTGGTCCATAGACCCCAGAGCCTTTAGCCATTTCACAAAAAGTCCCAGAATATCCTGAAATCAAATTAAGATAAAATGTTATCCATGCCATCTTAGCAGCGTCTCCGGGTATTCCATCGTTACTACATGTAGAGTCGTGTTTAGACATAACAACACAATATTAACATACATGAAATTCCATGGACGTCGACGGAAACATCAGGAGAGGATCTATTTTATCATTGAAAAACTAGAACAAAACGACGGGAAACCGGCTACATACCTTCCTCACAATCGCACTCGTGATAGTGTCCCTCACAATCCACTGGGCGACAATGTCCATTCTCGCAGCTGTCTTCTAGGCATTCCCCCACCACAAACTCGCAGTAAGGCCCGGTGAAATCCGGCGGACAGGAACAATAGACATCTCCCCACGACTCCGTCTGGCAGGTCGCCCCGTTCTCACACTCGTCCAAACTACAGTCGGTGGGCACGGTGGTCTCACACACTTTACCTAAATCAGGCAGACAGTTTTTTAGCTATCAGAAATGTAATTTCCAACCAACTTCTCCTGAGCAAGGAGAGTCTACATTAGCTTGCTTTTACCATTGGCTGCCCGTACTAAGCAACTGGTAAGTCTGGTGGCCATTTTGACCGTCTCCTGGCCCCAAATGATTGGAGATTATTAGAATTAGAAGAGTATGTACAAAAGTAGGTTTGGATTTTTTTAGCTTATAGATAGAGTAGCGTCAACGGCCTTGGCATATTACACAAATCATACAAGTTTTTAGAAAAATGACATTTTGGACATATCCGAATATTTTGCACATTAAGATATACGGATTTAATGGTCCATTGGCAAGAACATTAACACGGTGAATGTCCTTTTAAGTAGTTATGGACCTTAAGAGGAATTTCTACCTGTAAATCCCCATGGGCAGTTGCAGTAGGCGTAGTCAGGCATGGTAGTATCGAAGTGACAGGTGCCTCCCTGCATGCAGGGGTTCTCTCCCGAGCTGCAGGGGTCGTTGAAGGTGTCACATGTCGGTGGGTCGAACCCCAGCGGACAGTCGCAGTACCAGCCTCCTTCGGGATCCGGGCAGCAGGAGGCGCCGTTTTGACAAGGGGAGCTGCTGCAACCGTCTGTGATTGGGAGGGGGGTAATATGCTGATGAGTCCGACGAATGATTTTTTAAACCTTCTTGTGAGAATGAAGTCAGGCTGCCTACTCTTAAAGCAGAGGATCAGGCTTCGGCTTATTTTGACGTGTTTGAGGTTATTTATCAGAATTCCCTTTTTTAACCTGGTATTTTTTTCACGCCAGCCTCGGGTGGCAAATGGCAGCTGCCTTGATGCGAAGATGGATACAAAAGATCATAAGTAGGAACGTCTGAACTCACCGGTCTCGTTGTAGTCACCCGAGCCATCTCCAGACACGTCATAGTCTCCAGACCCACTTGGTCCATAGTCCCCAGAACCACTTGGTCCATAGCCCCCAGAACCATCTCCCTCCACTTCACAGTAAGTCCCAGAATATCCTGGAATAATAGATTGAAAAGGTAATTATGCAATATTGGTATGGGCTCTTTTAGACAAATAGACAAATAGTCAACATTTGTACAGGTAGTGTTTTGGAAAAAATGTACCATTGTCTTTATTGCGTAGTCATCAGTGATAATTTAATAAATATTCACGTGAGGCCAAAATAAAAAAAAAGGTAGTGTAAATAAGAAAAGAAAATAAATGAGTATGATACGGACAACGAGATGCAGCCCATGTTGAGGTTCCCCATCACATACCTTCCTCGCAGTTACAGGCGTAGTAGCCATCACAGATCCATTCCACGCAGTCGCCGTTCATGCAGGTGTCTTCCTCGCATTCCCCTATGACGAACTCGCATGAGGGCCCCGAGAAACCCTCCGGACAGCTACACCAGGCATCTCCCCACGACTCGGGAACACAGGTTCCTCCGTTCTGACACTCGTCTGAGGTACAGTCGATGGGAGTCGCGAACTCACACGCTCGCCCTGGTAAAAAACGGACGGGGTTAAGTGTTGGTGACATGCATGTAGCATGGTGATCAAGGGATAATACTAAAAGCCTTTAATCTTGTTAATGACATGGTAGGAATGATCTAATAGTTTGTGGTGTCGATTAAGGTATTGAGATACAGAAGGGAATTGTTACTCAAGCAACAGGATGGATTTTGAAAACTGTCAGGCGTCTCAAGTGTCATTCACAACTTTCGACAGTGGCTAACAGAACCTATCATGAGTTGAACTTATCCAAAAACCTCTTGCAGGCTGGTTAGAGGACGTTGTTTAGTGATAGAAGCAAATCAACCTTCTTACCTGTGAATCCTGGTGGACACTGGCAGTAGGCTTGGTTACTGTAGGAGTCGAAAGAACAGGTGCCTCCCTGCATGCAGGGGTTCTCTCCCGAGCTGCAGGGGTCGTTAAAAGTGGTGCAGCCCGGTTCCTCGTACCCTAGCAGGCAGTAACAGTACCAGCCTCCTTCGGGGGCCTCGCAGCAGCCAGCGTGGTTCTGACAAGGGGAGTCGCTGCACGTACCTGCAGAAAGAGGGAACTTGTTTGAGACGTTGCAATATTGCAGTTTTTCTCAAGACTATTCGGAGTACAACATCCCAACTTGAATTATTT